ATCGAACCACCAACCTTCCGGTTATTGGACGACCGCTCTACCTCCTGAGCTACTGCCGCCCCAAAGGGGCATTTCATTTCACCCCGATGACACCATGGATGAGGAGATGCTGATTCTAGAAGTCTAGAAGTAGATTTCCTCCTCTGGAAGGACACAGTCTACTGTTTACATGGTTAGCTTGTGTGGCTAAAGACAACTTGTTATTCCATGACTGTACCCTTAAAAAACGGGATGGTACCGTATTTGAAAACAAAAAGACATGTCCTGTAATGAACTAAAATGGGACGCTCCTTTTCCTTTTTTTCTGACAGCGTCTCTCAAAACCCAACAGACTACCAGCTATGGGTTGTTAACGAGAGCGTGTTATGCATAGCAACTGTAACTGCTTCTCATTGGTCCCCTCATGATTACCGACCAATGAGCTGCCTGAGCCTACGTTTCTATGGTTACTTCACGGTGATTGGCTCAGCTGCCTATAAGCGTAAGAACATAAGAACGAACCACAACAACGACATGGATACCTCAGAGTCAGAGACAGAGCGAGGGAATGATGTGGAGGTGGTCGTCCCTCCACCTTTGACCCACCCTAAATCCCCACATTTTTCGGCCCGGCCTGAAATAAGGGACAACCACATTTATAAGGGACACCAAAGGCGGCGGGCCAGATAAACTGTCCCTTTTTTCAACCTCTTGAAGTCGGCAACCCTATCACACGATTGCACATGAATCCGCGGGTTCTCGTGAGTTCTCGCGATTCCTGCTAATTCACCACGAAATTCATGGATCTGGTAGGAATTGGCGTGCAGCGAAAATAGCCGCCGTTTTGGATGCGGTGGAAATCCCGGGTTAGCCGACGAAAAGCTCCAATTATACGTAAAATTAAAGTATTCTTGTCAACATTCAACCAATGCAGTATTTTCGTCATTTCTCATGGCTACTTACTAAATACAAAAGAAATGCATATGTCATCACTCCGTTACCATAGAAACATGGTGGTACAAGATGGCGGCCTTCATGGAAGAGGACCCGCTCCTTTAAAAGTCGATTTCTACCAAGTCTGCTTACGTTCTGTAGCTTTAAAGGACTGCGACACTTGTCCTCAGTTATTCGGTCGGACACTAAATCTCATCCCTGACCTTGTGACCTTGTATTTCTCAGATGTTTTCGGGTTAAAGTGAAATGTTTGAACTTTTCTCTCTGCTCTAAATTATATGTAATCGGTGAAATGAGGAGAAGCACCTTTAGCTGCTGTTGGAGCGGCTGTTTCTACCTCATCCTTCAGGTTTGATCTCTCCTCTCCTGCAGATGGTGACGATCCTTTCACCGTGTTTAGACCTTGAATTTCAACGAGCACATCGGGGAAATTTAAAGACGAGGAATCAGAGCCGAATTTCTTTCTAAACCCAGCAGAGAGAGAGAGAGAGAGCGCCGAAGAGAAAGATCTGAAGGCTCAGCGGCAGACTAAGTGACTCGAACTGATGGACAGTTTTTCTTCGGTTTGTGCAGGGAATGAAAGCCATGAGTGGGCGTGGGTGAAAACGGAGCACACAGTCTGCAGGCTCTGTCACTTGGGGACCGGGCTCGTCTCATCACAGCTGTTCCACGCCCACAGACAGACACAGAGCAAGAATATAAAGTATTCGAGCGAGCTTCACTATGAGCAAAGTTCTGGCAAACTTCTCCGCCATGTGTTGCTGCAACAGGGAGGAGCATCTGCAACTCGGAGTGGCTCACAGTTTACCCTGAAGGACTGTAAAATATTCAAAGTATTACTGCATGATGGATTTACAGTGTTGAAACAGAACGCAAGAATGTCCCACGACGAGAAGACGGAGGTTTATTTGTATTTTCTTTAAGCCTGTAAACTCTGACAGCTGTAGGCCTCTCAGCTGTCAGCACATACAAGATCTGTGAAGATATAACAAGTATCGCTTTGTCCACAGGGGGCGCCAAAGTCGACACAAAAGAAAATACTAACAGGAGCTTTAATAGTTTTCCATAAAAATTTGAAATAATAACAACAAATAAGCAAAACTATGACGCCGAATTGGCTTTAGGATTTTCATCTTACAGTAATTACAGACGACTTTATGACGATATTTATGGAAAACTGAAATAGAGTTATGAAGAAGACGCAGACGCTAGTAAGCTAGCTTTAGCATCACTCTGAGGTTTATTTAACCCTTAAAAAACTGATATATGACGTCTTATTGTGGATCCAAAAACGACATCGATGGTCAACTGAACATTTATACTCTGGAAGTCTTTTATACTTCAAAATAAAAGCACGTTTTTTTCGAATGCATGAGCAAGACTGAAGAGTTGAGGGGATATTCCGGTGTAAAATTAATTTAACATCAAAAAGTCCATAATGGACTGGCCTGAGGTCTCGCTACAAACAAGCGTCTGCTGGAAGAGAGTAGGTGAGTTGTGTTTAGTCTCTTTGCTAAAGAAATGAGTCAAAGTTAAAAAGATGTTTGGTGTCTAGTACCATGTCTGGGACTCGATATGTTGATGAAGTTAGGTGCTGTTCTGAGCATTATTTGTGGCTATAGAGTGGCGTTTTGGTTGAGGGCGTGGCTCTCTGTATTATTATCCTGTGGTCGTTACTAAAGTTGGTATAACTAGAGAAGCAAGCGGTCGACAACATTCATCTCTGGATGGGGTGTCTAACTCTGTGTTACGGTGTGTTTGACCCTAAATTAATTTTACGCCGGAATATCCCTTTAAGTAGAGTCAAATAGAAATATGAAGAAGAAGCAGCCGCTAGTGAGCTAGCTTTAGCATCTCTCTGAGGTTTATTTAACCCTTAAAAAACTGATATATGATGCTTTATTGTGAATACAAAAACAACATCACTAGTCAGCATTCATCGTCTCTGGAAGTTATTCTTCAAAATAAAAGCCCAGTTTTTTTACTTTGCAGAGGTAAGGCTGAAGAGTAAATATCAAAATAAAAGCACGACGGACAAGCCTCGTCTTTGCCAAAGAAGGTTCGGTCACAGAGCTGCTGATACTGATGAATATGTCCCATGCTACGTTTATTTATTGCTAATGTGCATGAAGTCATGTGTTGCTCCACCCTTTTTCTGCCTCTATTCATTTCTGCATATTCAAAACCAAAACCGTAAAGTCGTCTTCTTCTTCACTCTGACCTGTTTATGCTCACAGTTTATGAAGCATGTACGAGGTTTAACAGAAATAACACTGACCTTTTTTTCAGGGAGGAAAACTAAACGGCACGAGTCTGCTGTAACCATGGTTATTTCTGCGCGAGGCTCAATGACGTCTGATACGAAAACCTTCCCGTTAAATCGGCACCAGGTGCAGAAAACAGAGTCAGGCAGAGCAGATCACCCGTCCTGTATGTGGGCCTCACAACGACCTTCACAAACTACAAAACCTACAAGCTACTTGATTTGAGATTGGTGAAACTGTACAGCTGGCTAAGTGGGGGACTAATTTTCATTTTATCTCCACGGCCTCTTTGCACAGACTCTCCGTGTTCAGCCCAAAGCCCGGGGTCGGTATGCAAAGCCAATCAGCTGGCATTGTCCTCCCCGCGTGCCTCCCTGGCCCGCCGAGCGGCCTCATTTGAGGGAGCAACTGGGGTCCGTGGTCGTTTGAGTATGTGTCCCTGTACCGCTGCCATTACACGCTCATGCTGCAGGAAGGACGTGTAGCTGCAAATTTGAGGGAATTTTGTCATTAATTCGGAGGAATATTTGAAAGGATTACCTCGAGGGCTGACGTCGGCATGTTGCGGCTTCAAACATTTACAGACAGAACCACAGAGGAAGTGGACGACAAGCCAAAATTATTACATGTGCGCATAAAACTGCAGAGAAATCCAGATCCCAATTACACATCAAGATGAACCACTTTATTTTGTGTCCATTTCAGCCCTTTTCCAAACAGAAACACACGGGCAAACCAGCTCAGCAGAGAGAGTCGCTGTGCTGAGATGGTTTGGGATCTTTGTTTGCAGTAAAGCAGAAGTCTGACATCCTGTTACCCTCCACAGTTTCAGTGTACGTCCACAAAAAGTCATCACTTCATGTCTGAATGTCCTGCTGCTTCAACCACATGCATCAGTCTTTTCATTTCTATCTCTGTACTACTGTCGGGCGGTATAAACAAAATCTTATACCATAGGATGAGTCTTTTCATATCATGGTATGTTTTTCCACCTGTAAATTCAATTAATGTCTTAAAAATAACCGTACTGCCGCATTTGTTCATTTTCCTTTTATTTTCAAACTCAGATTTGTAAACAAATGCAAATCATTAGGCGTACCTTTGGTGAAAGACTCTGCCGAGCTCTTTAGTCTGAGAGGAGCTGCTGCAGTTTTAGTTTTTGGTGCAGCAGGTGCGTCACGCATCTTTTGTCTCTCATAATAGAACTCGGCATGTTTCATCTTTTAGGTTGAGGAAGTGGTTGTTGATGTTTCCTTATCCAGCAACGACAGCCACACGACACTCTTGGTGTAGTATTTCTTTTTGATCATTGACTGATTTTCTAAATCCGAAGAATCTTCAGACAACCGATGTCGCGACTCGGGCCCTTTTTCAGAACGGGTCCCTCCTCCCCTACCTCCGTTTGCTTGGTACTGCCGCTAATCTCCGCGTCCGCCATGACCACCACCAGTGGTGGTCGTTTAAAGCACTACGCCAAGCAGTCTGCTGAACACGCTGGTGATTATACGGAAACGCACCCAAAGCTGATGTCGAATGATAATCTGGTCCTGTTCGAGGTTTCTGCCTGTTAAAGGGAGTTTATCCTCTCCAGAATGCTACACTCGTTCACATTTGTTGTCAACTGGTGCTGTATCAATAAAGATTGATTGATTGATTTGAATCGATGAGGTAAACGCTGCAGAGATTTACCGCCGTGTCGCGTTTACACGACTCTGGGAAGCTCAAAATCAGTCGTCGGATCCACGCTGTATCTTCAGGAACAACAGATTGAATGTGCACACACACACACACACCTCTCTCTCTCTCAGTCGATGAGCCTCCCAGACGTGCGCACCGTGGAGGTTAAGTGGGGCTCAGAGAGAGAGTCCAGCTGTGATGGGGGACCGCAAATCCCATAAGCCACCAGTCTCAGGGCAGGTTGGCACCACAGGAAGCTTTCACGGTGGGAAGTGGCGAGCGCGTCTCTGTCTGTCAGGAGTGGGGGAATATTGGATGTGAGCAAAGAGAGGAATGTCTTGGCTGGACTCTGACGTGAGGAGAATATGGGATGGTGTTGTTTTGAACAAGCCGAGCTCTGTGCACTCCCTTATATTAAAATATCTGAGATTTTACCGAGCTGAGCTAATTCTGGGAGATTTATACCACAACGTGTACTTTATTAGAGTGAAGACGTACGGTGGGATGCAGCAGAGAGGGGTTTGTCTTTGTCTTTGAGCACGCTGCTTTTTTTGTTTGCTCCTCGGTGATTAAATGAAGAGGAAAGCTGCCTCAGCAGAGCCGTTATTGATTAACATAACCTTTATTTAATCAGGTAATACCATCCAGATTGGAGTCTCCTGAATAAGAGAGACACAAGTACAGCAGAGCAGCATCCTGATGAATCACAGACCTCTCATTTCTCAGTTCCTTTTGTAACCAGCATGAAAAATCAGGTTACTAACCCTGTATTTGTCATTTAAACAATTCTACTAAATTCCCAGTAGGTGCGATATTTCCCTGCTGGTCACTGTATCCCGAGTGAACCTGCGTGAACTATCGCGTGAAATCTGCACCGTGAAGCAGACGTGTTTTCCTCTCACGACACGAGCCAGACAGCAGCAGAGCAGACAGACAGACAGACCGAGAGAGTCGGTAGCTAAAGCCGAGCAAACACGACAGACACACGGAGTAGCAGAGCCGTGGATAACGGCAGAGACGTCCGCAGGCAGACCCGGTATTCACAGCGAACCCGGGTTCAAAACCGACAGGCTGTGAGCCGAGGAGAAAACCCCTTTGTGGGATTAAAATGCATGAACTCCGGTGAGTCAGCAGACAGTTAGCTTCCAGTTCGGTAGCCGTTCAGACGGAAAAATAAAACGCATTTATAGTTCTATTTACTTGTGTTATTGTGGTCTATGTTGCTTTAAATATGCCATATGATGCCTTTCGATGTTTTCCTGTTGTTTGTAAGCCGTTTTTACCGTAGTTTATGGCTTGTAAAAAGATCGCTAGCTTGAAATGCTAACGCTATTAGCGACCGCGACATGCTAATCGCTAAGTAGGGATGCTATTTTGTCCCTTGTTTCATGTTTAGTCATGCAGTCGCTATGCTAACCGCTAAGCTAATGTTAAGTTTCCATGCAGTTGCATTGAGAAGGTGCAGTTTAATCATTTTTATACCAATTGAACTGCTTATTTGTGTTATTAGTCTCTGTTTTTGGTGATATATTTTGGATGTTGAACTGAGAAACTGATGAGACCTCATGAGAAATAGACAGAATCAGATTAGGTTCTTATCCCTATACACTTTCTGTGTAGGTTGGTTTTTTTCTTGCTAGTCTGAACTGAGAAAGAGACGATCAGGATGGCGATCCCAGCCCAGCGAGTCTGAGATAGAGAGAGAGGGAGAAGCAGTGTGGCCAGCTGCAGAATCCACCTACCTCAACAACTCTGGATCTTCCGAATCCCGCACTTTGAGAGCAGATAAGACACATACATACACTTTGCACCTACCCGGGTAGCAACAGTAAAAAGACACTGAAGACACAGAAATTCAATTGACATTGATACACAGAACACACACCTCGGATCCCCTCATCGTAAAACCCCAGAATTCTGAGCAGGAGAGTTCAGTGTCCCATTTAAGTTTTTTTTTTTTCTCTTCTCTGGCGCCTTGTTATTTTGAACAGTGAAATACCAGGTTGTTGATGTTTATTATTTTTTTGTTTCTCATTGATACTGAAGTATCACCTGTTCAAATCACTCCTCTTTATTCGAGTCATTCACCCAATTCCTACTGAACCTAGAGATGTGAGTATCCATTAATTCTCTAAATAGGACTAAAGGTGCTACACTTTCATCCTAAAAGGAGGTAAAATATTAAAAGACACTCTGTTCATCAAAAAACTAAATTCGTCTGAGTTTTTGTTTTTAGCGCTTTATATTCGCTAACCATAGCCACGTCTTCGTCATGGTAGAAAAAAACCTTGACAAACATTTATCGATTTTTAAACAAACACTGGACTGTTTGAGTCGTCAAGGTTTGGATTTTTGGGTTTTATTGTAGTGTTGCCAACCTAGCAGCTAGATTTAGCGACTTTTAAGACCGCCCCACGTGACTTATTTTCAAAAAAGCAGCTAGCGACAAATCTGGTGACTTTTTCTGGAGGTTAGATTGTCATCGAATCCTCAGAAAGCAGCTCAAAGCAACTTGCTAGCATGTGGTGGCGAACGTATCTATAGTTTTTCCTCAAGCTAAGCCCCGCCTACCAATGATATCGTACTGTTGTAACTAAAAGGGTAAATTCAGTTGACGTATATATTGACCTGCTGCAGAAAAGGCAGTCGTGGCCAAAGGAGGATTCAGACAATTTTCCGAACTTTCTGGTTGGTTTCTACTGTCCGATATTGTAGCACGCTAACTTTGTTTGTAGCACGCTAACTTTGTTTGACACGGGGGAGCAGCGTCTGCCTCACAACCAATCAGGTTAGAGGAGGTGGAGAACGGCTTTGTTTACTCAAGCTAAGCCCCGCCCACCAACGATGTTAAACTGTTTATCATGACTAAAGGGGTATATTCAGTTGACGTATATATCAACCCTTTAGGAGAAAAATAATTTGTGAGTATTTTAGAATCTGTCTTTAAACCCGGTGCAGAACAGACAGATGGTTGTCTAACATGAGTCTGGTTCTGCTCGAGGTTTCTGCCTGTTTTGGTACAAAGACGATTTCTGTTTTGGTTTAGTCTCTTTTCCCTCATGGTGACATTCGTCTCTGCTCTGAGAAGAATCAGATCTGTCATCATCTGCAGATCCATCCGCCCATCACTCTGAAGACCAATGAGGCTCAGAGGCTTTTAGAGAGACCAACTTCCCCTCCTCCCGATGAAGACGTCCTCACAGATGCTGCATTATCCCGTTAATTCCTGCAGCGCTGGATCAAGACTCATTTCCCTGCAGACTGATGGAGCGAGGAGTGAGCTCAGACCAAAGCTGAGAGGCATGACTGTCTGAGCTTTGTCTTTAAACAGCAAACAGCACAGCAGGAAACGCAATTTACAGCCTGCAGGCGAGGAGGCCGGTCCTCCAATTAGCTGTTAACTGTGCTCATTAAAAAAGCAAAGGCAAATGTCCTGGAATAATTGGCAAAAAGTCAAACAAAAGATTTCTTTCTCACACGTCCTCTGAGGAGGAACGATCCGGCAGCATTAGCACGCTCTGCTCAGTCTGGAGCTGTTATGGATGATGTTTTTCAGGTCCTGTGCTGCTCTGTGTCCTGATGGCTCCTTTGATTTTTAGAGTTTGAGTAAAATTTTCCACTCATTCAGAAACTATTCTCTGCAGAAGCATCAGAGCGTTAATAAAGTGCTTCAAACGAGACTGTAGAAATCTTTATTTCCCTTATTAGTGAGTTGATTATCACCACATTGAACTCAGAAGACTCTGCTCTCACCGCATGTTAACTCTTATTTATTACTGCTAACTACGTTTTCACACATTTGCTGAAACACTGACTGAAGGTGGTTAATATGAGAAAACACATTTACAGGAACCAAGGTTAATGTAGTCATTAAAGGAAAGCTTTGGTTGTAAATTCAATAGATTCTTTGTAGAGTTTTATATGTGTAGTTTTCTTATTTGTAATTTATCATCATTATGTCATTTGGACCTGAGGATGACTGGAGCCCCAGTTTTCAGGAGTTGGGACTTTGTTAGACTCAGAATCGAGTGTTGATGGCAGACTGAGACTCAGAAGGTGGATTAGATTTTACATGAACATATATAACAATAAAGTATTTGACCAAAAATATTGAGACAAATACGTGATATCATGAGAATAATTTTATGAGAATTAAGTCTTTGTAGCATTTATACAACCTTCATGTTACGAGGTTAGAGTCATGACATTGGGGGAAAAGTTGTTAGGAGGTTAAACGTTTTATAAAAAACAAATCATGTTATGAGAAAAAAAAGAAATAAGTCTCAAAGTTATAATAAAAAGGTTTTAATATGAGAAGAATAGAGCTACTATATCATGAGAATAAAGTCACTAAATTATGAGAATGAAGCTAAAATGAAAAAAAAGTCAAAACAAACTTTCATGAGAAATAAAAGTTTTTTGATTATGAGAAAAAGTTTTTATAAGATAAAAGTTCTGTACGAGGGGTAGAGCTGTTACGTTATGAGAGAAGAGTTTTTTAACGATGAGAATAGAGATACCATAAAAAAAATAACATGAGATTTATGTTATTGCGTCATGAGGAGTAAGTTATCATATTTAAAGAAGAGTAATGAGGAAAAAGTCAAAAGAATTAGGGACTTTGGTATCATGATAATGTTGTCATGATATGAGAATAGAGTCAATATATGATGGAATAAAAGTTTCATTTCATGAGAATAAAGTCATGACGTTATGAGAAAAAGTGAGCGATGTTTTTATAATGAGGTTGTTTTGTAATGAGAAATGAGGAAAAAGTGAAAAAGACAGGACTTAACTTTTGTAATAATGTAGGCCATGTCATAAATTCAGTTCTGTCATGAGAATAAAGTTGGTCACTTGAGAAAATGAAAGTATTATTAATGAGAATATCTTCCATGTGCTCAGGATTATGAGAAGTCCTGGATCACACGAGGACAAAGAAAAGCTCAGTTTGATCCATTTCCTCAGATTTTCTCTTTTAGACTCATAAAACTTTAAAACCAGGAGCTCATTAAAGTAGACGAGACAGGCTCAGGTCAAACGGCTCTGTGCAGAAGTTTCAATAATCGGGAGCATCAGAGAGGCTGACGGGTCAGCTGAGGACAGAAACGGTGATAAAAACCAAGGGGAAACAAACATCAAGATACCAGGCTGGATGTGGAGGAGGTGCACATAAATCCTGAGGCAGATTTGATTACTCGGAGAAGATAAATGCAATTTTGTTGTTGTTTCTGTTCTGTTTGAATACAGTCTGTCCCTGTCAGCTCCAATCATGTCCCTGCAAGAAATAATCAGCACACAAATGAGGGGCATGTTTACGTTTAAGAAATAATAGATTTCTTTATTTTAGTGGCAAATGGGACGACTGGAACATGTGACAAATGAGCCGCATGATAAACATGACCTTTAATTTTTCTACTCTTGGATATGATGAAAAGAGCACAAAAGAAATCGGATAAAAATTCGGATTAAATCCAGCTCTCTCTAAACTCGAGTCTGTGCGTACAGGAGTTTCATCTGTGAAAGCTTGGAACCATATTTACAGGAGGCCGGTGGGGCTTCTGTTGATTACTCCACAGCTGTTGTGGAATAAAACACATTTGCTGTCGTTCAGTTTCCAGATCAGATGAACGGCTGGCAGACCTGTTTTCAGTTTCGTAGTATCTGACACCTTTTCTCTGAGTTCATTGCTGTAAATCAGCTGATTTAACCAATGCTCGATCGCTATCGGTTACTATTACACGCATGTTTGCCTCTATCCAGATCTGTGGTTGTTTAATACCTTCTCTCAAATGTACAAAACTTCGCCAAAACAAGCTGTCCAGATCAGAAAAAGTGTGTCACCTGACGATTCCAACTTGCGATACACGACATTGGCGCCATCACTGACCTGTGACCTGAAGCTCCAAAGCTGTTTATGGACTCATGGAAAAATCTTGAACATTATTCAGATCAGCTCTGATTGGCGGATACGACCTTTTCCGTGGAAATCCCGGGTTAAAAGGCTGCTACAGCTAGATCGCTAGCGGCTGCTTCTTCTTCATCTGTCCTAAGTTTGATGACGTGGAAAACAGCACGAAGGACGACCACTGTGCGTTTTATTTTAGCATGATATCAATATTTTCTTGGTTATAGTCAATCTGGTGCGTTTCCACTGACTGACACAGTTTGGTTCGTCAAACCCTGATCTGGTCTCCACAGCAGATTTAACCCCCAAAACAGAGCAGATTCATAACGTTAAACTCCACAGACTTAAACTGCAAAATGTAGATTTGATGCAACAAGAGAAGTGAGCAGGATTCGCAGCGTCTTCAGTTTCTGCATGCATGTTCTTCTTGAGAAAAATAGGCATGTCTGATAGGAGTGCAACTACGTTACACATGCCAGAAAACTCGTGCAGAAGGCGCCGGTGTTGCAGGAACAGTTCTTGAAGATCCTTCTCTGCATGTCCTGACCTTTGTGACCTTACTTGCTCCCGTTATTGAGCTCATGGAGACCTGGTTCACAGCTGCATTTGCAACACGATTAAAACTTCAAACTTTTCCTGAAATCTGAACATGTGCGACCTGATCAAAGATTGTAAAAAAGCATGCATTTTTGGGTAAATTCTTAGCAAACAAGAAACAGTGACTTTGAGTTGAAACAGCAGCAGTCTGAAGAAAATGAGTCTCACCACTCATCAATTTCATTAAAATAAGACTCGTCACTGAGACATTTGGTACATTTCCTGTATATTTTTCTTCTTCGATGGTATCAGGGTTTGTCAGAGGCCCTGTAGACGATAACTGTGAATGTAGGTTAGTCGTGCCGAAAGGTAAGAAGACAATAGGAGGAGAGAGAGGAGTGGGGGGATGGTGAGGAGGTAATAGAGAGAGAAAGAAAAACAGCCTGCGAATAAAAGCTGTCTTGACTCTTTAATTTAAAGGCGTTCGCCTGTCCGTCACGACCCTGCCCCGGGCCGCTCGGGGTCATCCTGCAGTCAGGGTCATAAAATGCAGAGGTTGTCACCGGCCTGGGGGCTTGTGGACGTGGTGACCCCGCAGGCGAAGCTAACCGGGTGAAGAAGAAAAAAAAAAAGGAAAAGAAACACACACAAAATGACAAGGTGATTCAGTGTCTCCTTTGTTGCCGTCACCTCGAGCAGCTTTAAAGCCGGACTGACAGCAGTTTACCTTCCCGTCTCTGACGCGTCCATCATCCCGCTGCAAATTCCAGACCTGCTTTTGCAACAGCACCTCGACAGGCCACCCCCCCCGACATGGAGTATCAGTGACAGAGCGTCCGAGGGCCGGTCTCTGCTGCGTCCGCCCTGTAATAACTGTCCCTGACAGGCACTTTGTGCTGCTGAATAGTCTGTCTGTTTGACTAATTCTACGGCGTTTGGCGTGTAAAAGCAGCTGTCAGCGCCGCGGTGCTCAAATGACATATCTGTGAAGTAATTGATAAGAGCGTGCTTGTGGTTCGCATGTGTGTGAGGCTGTTTTTGCAGGTGTGTGTAGGCAGAGCATTGTTAGCATTTCTGAGAGTCTGAACTGATGACAGTGTGTGTTACAGTGTGTGTGTGTTACAGTGTGTGTGTGTGTGTGTGTGTGTGTGTGTTAGAGTGTGTAAGGAGTGGTTCATTTGGCAGAGAGGATGAATCATATTCACTCCCGATCCCTCGAAGAGTTATAAACCTCATTATTTAAGTGCATCAATTACCCAGCTGACTTAAATACTCGGTTCTGATTGGCCAAAATCCAGACTAATGTTTAAAAAGAATTAAATCAGATTCATAAAAGAAAAAAGAAACAACAGTCAGATTTTTATTTTTTATTTGAATCAGCTGACTATCGTCTGGTTGAGGTGGCCATTGGCTGTGGATCAGCGCTGGACGTCGTGTCCTGACAGAACTAACGCTATGCTTCATTTAAACAAACACTGGCTTTATAGTCTGGTGCACCTTATGTATGAAAATAGACGCATTCATTGATAATGCGCCAAAATTAGGTAGTCGGGCTGATATTGTAAACGTCAAAATATTGTGTATTCTGATCCAGAGTCAGCCCAAAGGAGGAGACAATCACACCTCATTTTTAGAAGTATTTCAAGGTTAAAATAAAGGTCTTATTTTTTTCCTCTGTTCTCTATTCTCCCTCTTTTTCAAACATTTAGGGGTCAAAACCGTCTGATCTAATCCCCTTTGTTTTCCATCGATCATGTGTCGAAACACGAGTCACGCGTGTTTCTCTGTAAATCTTGAACGAGCTTGACTTCTTCAGGAGCCGCAGAGCGAACGATGATCGATCATTTCTCCGAGCCAAAACCACCAGATGAAGTTCTTACACTGCCGTCACAGTGTCCAAATCCACGCCTGTCATCAACAGGCTGCAAATGTCATGTTTTTATTTAGGGACTGAACGGACGAGTGAGGGAAAAAGTAAAGAGGATCAGGCTCTTTAAACCGAATATTTAATAACATTACAAAGAGAGTGTGTGTCTGTGTTTGAAACCTTATACATGTTTATGCACATATATGTGTGTGTGTGTGTATTTTAGTGATCGCTGACATACATCAACCTGTCCGCTGTGACCTAAACTGTTGAGGTGTTGGATGTGACCTTTGACCCTGTGCGACAGCTGGTGCAGCTGGCTCTGATTTGTTGATCCTATCAGGTAAAAGGTGCGACTGCATCTTCCCCGAACACCTGAGCCATAAAAAAGTACTAAACTTTTATTCGTGTTTATCATAAAAAGAGATTTAATATCAAATAATTAAAATGGAACTTTAGATAAGAGAGCGCACTCTAGATCTGACAGTGACTGTCTGTATCAGATCAGGAGAGATCTAGGCCTCGTATATCAGGCTGCTTTCATTTCTTCATACCACAGACGATGAACTCTGACCTCTGTGATTTACGCCCCAAAACTCTCAGTTTTATCTTTATGATTTCACCGATAGCGCCGTCATCGGAATATTTTCGCATGAAGCCAAACATAAATTCAAACCAGCAGATGTTACGCAAGAACGACAAGAAACAGATTTCAGCTGAAAAAAAGGGAGAAAATGTGCAACTGTTGGTTTTTATAGACTGTTAACACTATACTTAGAAACAAGCACAGTTTCAGTCATGGTTACGCTGCCACCTATTGGACAATAAGTGGTACTATCTAAGGTTTAGACCCGGACCTTTAGAGGGTGTACGTTAATGCTAGTACCATGTTTTTCCACAGGGTGGCGCTATGACAGTAGTTAGAAATACACACATAGATCTGTTCAGAAGTGAGATATTAAAGGGATATTCTGGTGTAAAATTAATTTAGGGTCAAACACACCACAACAGATGAATGTTGTCGACCGCTTGCTTCTCTAGTTATACCAACTTTAGTAACGACCGCAGGATAGAAATACAGAGAGCCACGCCCTCAACCAAAACGCCACTCTATAGCCACAAATAATGCTCAGAACAGCACCTAACTTCATCAACAGGACATATAGGGTCACAGACATAGTACTAGACACCAAACATCTTTTTAACTTTGACTCATTTCTTTAGCAAAGAGACTAAACACAACTCACCTACTCTCTTCCAGCAGACGCTTGTTTGTAGCGAGACCTCAGGTCAGTCCATTACGGACTACAGCGGGGTGCCGAAGCTCAAGGAAGAACATTTATGATCATTTCCTCATGGAAATACAATCAGACCGAGACGCAAAGACAGAAGAACTACCGCGTCTGTAAAATGATTAATATGGTGATTATTACTTCAAGGAAATGATAAAGAAATTATCATAAATGTTCTTCCTTGAGCTGCGAAACCCCGCTGTAGTCCGTAATGGACCGGCCTGAGGTCTTGCTACAAACAAGTGGCTGCTGGAAGAGAGTAGGTGAGTTGTGTTTGGTCTCTTTGCTAAAGAAATGAGTCAAAGTTAAAAAGATGTTTCGTTACTAAAGTTGGTATAACTAGAGAAGCAAGCGGTCGGCAACATTCATCTCTCGACGGGGTGTCTAACTCGCCAGATTATCCCTTTAATCATGTTTACTGAATATCAAACAAATCCGTCCTTATATGGAGAAGTTAGAGTGACTTCCTGTTTCAAGGCCGAACATCAAAGTTTGATGGCTGATGGCATTTCTCATCAAAATAACAGACTTCCTGTTGGGTTTAGGGTTTAGGTGTAAGAGGGTTTTTTGTAGAACTCAGTTCGATAATCGTGTCCTGAAAAAATCACATATGTAGATTAAACCGTGTGGAGGGGCTGAATTTTTTAAGTTGGCGACACTTCAGAGACGTTTTTCACACATTTTACAGGAAACCAATGAGATGCAATGTTATTCTCCAAATATGTGATCATCTAGTCAGAAGAAAGAGAGACTGAATGACTGAACGAATGAGTGAATGTATAAATTCCTTAGGCTCCCAGTGTCAATTCTTCCTCCATCTTTGTCTTCTGTTTCTCAGCTTCTGCAGAAGTTTTTCTTACACAACAAAAATTAAACTCGTTCCTCTCGTCATCCCTCCTCTCGCTCCCCGGTGTTTTATTTAATTTCTTTCTTCATATAAGAGTCAAAACACCCGGAGTCCTTCTGCTCCTCCTCTGCGGCGCTCTGAAAACCTGAGATCCGTAACCTCGATTTTGATTTGTGCCACACAGCAAACTGAAGATTCGTGCTCAAACTCGCCGCCCTGAAAGCGTAAAAGTGTAAAAACTGAACTCTGGCGCCGGTCCAGCTTGTTTATCGGAGGTTACCGGGTCATGCGAAGAACATCTGGACTGCTGGGTCCACCTCGTGTAGATCTGACACATCTGGAGGCAGAAATCTGATCTTCAGCAGGTTATGCAAGATGAAGAGTACAGTTACAGCGCTGTTTTCTCTGGTTGTAGATATTGATTGGTTGAATATGTAAGAACAGCTGGTTCACGTTGTGCTTTGGCGTCGGGCCTTCTCTCCCAGGGTTGCGTATGTGGGAGTAAATCTTGTATGACCCAGTCAGGATGGTGGGCCGGGCCTGGAGCTCTCCATCCAGCAGGCTGGACTGGAGACTGGAAACAGATGGGGTGAAGAGCCAGGATCCAGTCTGCGGGGATTCATTTTGGTTTGATTTTATTTTTCTCCTGTCGGATCGGCTGCCTTCTCCGGCTCTGGATGTTTTCTCAAGAGCTGATTTGATTTGACTCCTGCGTTCCCTTTCGCTCTCCACGCCTCTTCACTATTTTCCTCTTCTTCTTCGTCGTCTTCTTCTCCTCTTTTTTTACGACGCTCTTCTTTGCTGCATTTGGTTTTCTCATTTCTCTCCTCACCTTTCCCCTAAATCTCACTCCTCTCCTCTCCTCCCGTCTGTCTCGTCCTCCTCTTCATTTTCATGCCTCTTCATATCTATTGTTTCTGCTCTCCTCATCCCTCCTCTGCAACCCTTGCCTTAATTCCTCCCTCCTTCCCTCCCTCCTCATCCTCATCCTCCCTTCTTCACCCACTCCATCCTCTCATAACAGCTCATGGACTGACAGGATAACATATGAAGCCAATCATCCCAGGGAGCGGCTCTGAAATATTTTCTATTTTTCTGGCCCCATAAGGACTACATCTCTCTCTCTCTCTCTCTCTCTCTCCCGCTCTCTTTCTCTCTCTCTCTCTCTCTCTTTCTCTCTCTCTCTCTCTTGCTCTCTCTCCTGCAGCGTCTCTCTGTTTTTGTTTTCTGACCGGGGTTGTTTTAAATTCTTTCCACTCTGAACATACGATTCATAAATGTTTCAATGAACGCCTCTTTCAAGGGCAACAAAAGCAGAAATGTGGCGGTAAAGAGAGACTCGTGAACGCTGTGAGGATTTCTTCTTCAGGAGACTCAAAACTTTGAAAACTCTCGTTTGACTTTTACTCGTCGTAGTTTTATCCCAGTTTGTCCAAACGAGCATCGAGGTCAGCGGCTCCGATCATGAAAATATGACAACAGAAGGAATCTGTCACGGTGCTTTGAATGGAGAGATACACAACGAGTGCTTCGTCCTGTTAGACTTTCAAAATAAAAGCATCAAAATAATATTAGTTAGAAAATATCCTGTTGCTCGGCTGACAGTGAGATGTACCAAAACAAATCGGCAGACACAACCTGCAAAGCGCTGTACCTCTTCTACGTAAAACACGACACTTTTCTTCTTCTGTTCTTCATACAAACGACATTCTTCTTCTTTTCTTCGTAAAACATGACACTCTTCTTTTTTTTATACAACATGATACTCCTTTTTTTCGTACAACATGGCACTCTTCTTTTTCTTCTTCTATATTTTGTACAACACGACACTCCTCGTCCTTTCTTCGTACATCACGACACTCTTCTTTCCCATCTTTTATTATTTGTATAACACTACACTCTTCTTCTTTCCTTCGTACAACATGACACTCTTCATCTTCCTCTTTTCTTCATACAACACGACACTCCTTTTCTTTTCGTACAACACAACACTCTTCTTCCTTTCGTCATACAACATGTCACTCTTCTTTTTCTTCGTACAGAAACGTTGGTCCGTCGTACAGTTCGGTGTGTTGGTCCAACCCTGAGAAGTTAGCGTGATTTCACTTGAACTATCATGTTCTTCGTGTATCTTAAGGATCCGGTTTCAGTCTGACTCACACATTAAATCAAATTCTTGAACATCATTTGGATAATTTGTTGTTTTATTTTGATTAGGACGTTAAAAATCTGTTTTATGAAATTAAAACTGGACTAAAAAAGATTCTGTTTTGAGCAGATTAACCATTACTGTGTGGATGTCTTTAATCTGTTTCTCCTCTGCTGGTATTTGTAGGTATGATGTTGGCGGGATCGCGTGTGTGTGTGTGTGTGTTTGCTGCAGTATCTTATTAATGAGAGATCTGCTTTGCTGCACATTCAGCTTCCACATGCACCCTCCTCCCCCCCGTGTCTCTCCCCCTGACAGGTCTCAGGATAGCGGGTCTTAACAGGGTTCCCTGTTGCCCGGTGATGCAGGCGCCTCATATCAGCGCTGCACTGTCTTTTCAAATTCATATCTCCCTCAGGTCCCGTGGGTGGCAGCTTTGGATGCAGCCTAATCAGAATTCTGCTCCTCGTGAGTCCACGTCGTATTAAAGCAGCAGTGTGTGTGTGTGTGTGTGTGTGTGTGTGTGCGCGCGCGCATGTAAAGGATAAGTATAAGAGGATACAGCTATCTCAAAGGTCTCACATGTGGGAGCTGAGACTCCGCTCAGAGATAATTCTTGCTGTGTCGTGCAAGATTTGGTCTCGACAGAAAAGGTTGGGATCGTACGTTTGAGTGTGTGATAAGCGGGGAAGTGGCGAAGCATCCGTTTGGAAGGAGGCGGGAACAGCAGAACCTGAACCTGGTGAAACAAGTCTTAGGTGTTTATTATCACCCCGGAGCACTTCGCTGTTAGAGCGCGGTTCACCCGTCACTGTCACCCCCACACCTGAAAGTGGAAGTCTGAGCCGTCTCACGCAGGAACTGAGGCGGGCTCATTAAAAGTGAGAATGTAATCCACTCCAGGTGGGGGTGATGACCCTGCTGGAGTGGAGGATTGTTGGGGTAGAAGATGACAGATGTTGACATCTGTTAGCCTGCAGTCACATACATCTCCACCAGCGATCTTTTGTCCCATCTGGCCCGGGGTTTTTTGGTGCGCCAGATTCTGATTCTGTGGGGGAACCAGCGCAGCGCCTACTCCTTTAGCCTCAGCTGAAGGTGTCAAACCAACCTGCGTGACCATCAGTCAGTGCGTTTACATGCACAGCTTACCAGCAAATTTCCACCGTATTCGGAACGGCTACAAAAAGGCCGTATCTGCAGATCGTAGCTGATCGTAACCATTTAAGTTCTGGCTTCTTTCCGTTCCTCTACGGATCACCAGACTCCACAGCTGATTTTTCTGGACGCCGGAGCATGGCGGATAAATTCAGCACAGATTAACCCGTGCTGGAAAGGAAGTCGGGCACAGACACAAAATAAAACATCCGGCTTCTTTTCAAAGTAAAACACTCCGTGTTTCAGGAGGGTCGTATTTCACGCCATGCAAACAGGCGGAGACGAACAAGTGAAAGGTTTTTAGACGCCCCTGTATCTCAAGAACGCAAGGTCGTAGAAAGACAAACTTGGTGTCTACGTGTTCCTCCTGGTGGAATTATAGGTGGCGGGTACCAGTTAGAAGTTTGTGGGAGGTTCCGTTTGTGAGTGATGGGCGATATAATAAACATTAAGTCAGTAACAAACATGTAAAATGTTGTCTTCACACTGTTCAGGTCCAGGTCTCAGAAGTTCCTGATGTTTTTTCTGGCTAATATGATGAAGGACATCGGCTGAGGTTCGACGCTCTTTACAGTCAGTGAATTAATAAAGTGAGTGGGTCTGTGTTGATCGTGTCCCTGACTGTGGAATCATCCTGTCATTCAGAAACTCTCGGTCCTGAAGGTAATCAGATTTTAATCATTTATTTATTATCACAGAAAGACGCATCAGAACTCAATCATGTCAAAAATACGGTTATTTTACTGTAAAATAAATGCTTTTTAATTTCAGAGGACCTTGACTACACGAGCATGTTTATTCAAATCAGGCTGCTTCTCAGAATAGTGTTTTTGTTGACTGAATGTTCGGCCCATGAAAGAGTCTCTGAATCAGTCGAACGTCACATTTTAACGCACTTTTGAGTTTTACAGGGTCTCTCTGAAAACATATGGGATCTCTGATGGAGACATTTGCATTTTAATTATTAAATTTCTTTTGAAATGAAAGAGTCGTCATTTTACGATAGTGTGCGTGCGTCCTTTTCCTCTTGTTTGATTCATGCAGGTGTTTGACCTGCAGAACAAAAGTGTAGTCAGAGTAATTCAGAGCAGAGGAACAGAAACAACCTGTACAGACCGGAAAAATCACTTAACAGGTGTAAAAGTGTTAAATTACTCGTGTGTCCGTGTCCCTGACCTTCTGCAGCTGTGGAGGTTTTTTTGTACAGATCTGCAAACTGGACCGAATGAACGCCGTCATATAAACACTCTGAATGTTAAATAAAATGTTGTAAAGTTGTCGTCAGGTGAATCTCAATCTTGACTCAAAAGTTCCTCTTTTATTTTTACTTTCTCCCCTCCAGCTCTACCCGTTATCTAAACGGACTCCCGCTGAAATAAAGATCAGGAGACCATTTACCGGCCCTCCTCTCTTCCTCCTGAACTCGCCGGCTGCTAATCGATGAGTGAGCAGCATTAAAGGAGATGTGTAAATGAGTCCAAATGACTGGGCATTCACAGGCCTCATTTCCTCAGTGATTAGATCAGGATCTCCTCCCATACAATGATGTTTTCATTATCCTGCTCTCCTGTCCTCCTTTTCCTCTCTTTTCTCCTCTCCTTTTGTCCATTAGGCCGAGCAGCGCCGTGAAACAATAACGCCGGCAGCGCCATCCCCCTCCTGAACCGGATCATCTGATGATCTGACTGCAGAGAGGAGGTCGCCTGAGCACAAAATGAGCTCCTGTGGACTGTCAATAAATCAATAGTGGAGTCCTGTCATATTAAAACCACAGACTGAAACTCTGAACACGACTGATCAGTAACTGAGCGTCGAGTTTGAGCTCAACGTAAACGGTTATTTCTCTAAACTCAATCTGAGTTCTCGGGTTTGGGTCAGCATCTGTTTTTGTGGTGTTAATACAAAAAAGCTTTTCATATCAGTCAATAGTTATTAGTTATTGATGACATTTGGGAATATAATGTCAACATTTTGAATTTTCTCTTTCTGACTGTAAACAAAGCCGTTCTCCACCTCCTCTAACCTGATTGGTTGTGAGGCAGACGCTGCTCCCCCGTGTCGTTCAGGAGCCCAAACAAAGTTAGCGTGCTACAATATCGGACAGTAGAAACCAACCAGAAAGTTCGGAAAATTGTCTGAATCCTCCTTTGGCCACGACTGCCGACACAAGCAAGAAAACAAAGTAAATACCGGAGACTCTGGAGGAATAACGGGCGCTTAAAACGGAGGTAGACCGGACAAGAGCTAAAAAGCCGGGTCAACATAAACGATGGGGGACGCTTGGGGATCTTGGTGACCCTGTAACCTTTCTGCTGGACAGGTAAACCGCTTTAACAAAGTAAGACAAGTGTCTGTAACAGAAGTGTTTCTTGTCAAACGGACCTGCTGTAGCGTGTTGTAGCGCCATCGCTAAACTGTCCTCCCTCGGGTCCTGGACTATGTCACTTTATCCTAGTTGTAGAAGTCCTGCAAACATTGTGTTTGCTGGTAGTCTGTTGGTATCTACAGTAGCACCAATGCTTTTGACTTTCACCTTGACTGGGCCCCATTTGTAATGATCTGAAGTATTTATCTGCATTATATCTGAATTTAATTGGAACGATACGAGCGAGCAGGAGCGTCTGTTTGTGGGCGGGGCTTAAGGGGAGAGGAGGAGCTGAGGGGAAAACTGGTTGGGAGGGGTAGAGTTTACATTCAAGATTTCTCCTAAAAACTGGAACTAATTCAGATCCTGACTACAACACCTTTAATTAGACACTTTTAAAACTGATGATGGAGGTTTGTTTTCAATCCAGATACACAAAGAGAGCCTGTGAACATTTATACTTTCTAACTGTCCTTCAAAATAAAAGCACAGTTTTCTCCAAGAAGTTTCATTCACAGGAATGGAGACGTAGTCGTAATTTGCTGGTAGTCGTAGACGTAGCTGGTAGTCTGTTGGCATCTACAGTAGCACCAATGCTTTTGACTTTCACCTTGACTGGGCCCCATTTGTAGTTCGTTTACTGGTGGAGCAGAGAGAGAGAGAGAGAGAGTGTTTCTCTGTGTTGTCTCTTTAACTCTGTGGCTCTAAAACAGTTGAAGTGTGTTTCTGCTCGATGAGGTTTCTATGAGGTGAATAAATGTTGGTTCAGTTGATCTTCAGGACGGCTGCAGCTTTAAGAACTTCTGCTTGTTGGAGTTTGAGAGTCTAAAGTCCCCCCCCTCCCTCGTCTCTCACAGCTCACTCCACTCTGCACTCTCACTTCCTTGTTCCCTCCCCTTCCTTCCTCCCTCCCTCAGATCTACAGTCTTGGTTGGGTGTAACCTCCGTGTGCTGAGGTCATATCCTGCTGACTCACATGTTGTTGAGATCAGAGCTCAGACTAGTTTCACTTCTCAGGAAATAAAACTCAGTCAGTCGTCGTCGACAGTGAGTGTTGAAATGGCGCAGAAAGGAGTTCATCTGGACCGTGAGTCTTTCTCTTGTTCCATCTGTTTGGATCTTCTGAAGGATCCGGTGACTCTTTCCTGTGGACACAGCTTCTGCATGAGCTGTATTCAATCCCACTGGGATACTGAGGATGAGAAGAAGATCTACAGCTGTCCTCAGTGCAGAGAGACCTTCATACCGAGGCCTGTCCTGAAGAAAAACACTATGTTAGCAGGTTTAGTGGAGGAACTGAAGAAGAGCGGACTCCAAGCTGCTCCTGATGGTTCCTCTGAGGCTGGACCTGAAGATGTGGCCTGTGACGTCTGCAGTGGGAGAAAACTGAAAGCTGTCAAGTCCTGTTTGTTCTGTTTGATCTCATTTTGTGAAAAACACCTACAGCCTCATTTTGAATTTCCTGCCTATGCAAAACACAAGCTGGTGGAGCCCTCCAAGAAGCTCCAGGAGAACATCTGCTCTCGTCATGATGAGGTGATGAAGATCTTCTGCCGCACTGATCAGAAGTCCATCTGTCATCTCTGCTGTTTGGACCAACACAAAGGTCACGACACAGTCTCAACTGAAGCAGAAAGGACTGAGAGGCAGAAAGATCTGGAGGAGAGCCGAGAAAACATCCAGCAGAGAATCCAGGACAGAGAAGAAGATGTGAAGCTGCTCCAACAGGAGGTGGAGGCTATCAACGGCTCTGCTGATAAAGCTGTGGAGCACAGCAGAAAGATCTTCAGACAGCTGATCCGTCTGATGGAGAAACGCCGCTCTGAGGTGGAGCAGCAGGTCAGATCCCAGCAGGAACGTGAAGTGAGTCGAGTCAAAGAGCTTCAGGAGAAGATGGAGCAGGAGATCACTGAGCTGAAGAGGAAAGACGCTGATCTGCAGAAGCTCTCACTCACAGAGGACCACAACCAGTTTCTGCACAGCTACCCCTCACTGTCAGAACCGGGTCAACCTGCAGACTCATCCAGGATCAACATCCGTCCTCTGAGATACTTTGAGGAGGTGACAGCAGCTGTGTCAGAGGTCAGAGAGAAACTCCAGGATCTTCTGACAGAGACGTGGACAAACGTCTCACAGGCAGTGACTGATGTGGACGTTTTACTGTTAGAACCACCAGAACCAGCAGAACCCAAGACCAGAGCTGGTTTCTTAAGATATTCACAAAGAATCACACTGGATCCAAACACAGTAAACAGATTTCTGATATTATCTGATGGAAACAGAAGAGCAACATATACAGAAGAACCACAGTCTTATCCTGATCATCCAGACAGATTCACTGGTTTGGTTCAGGTCCTGAGTAGAGAGAGTCTGACTGGACGTTGTTACTGGGAGGTGGACTGGAGAGGGACCGGGGTTTATGTAGCAGTCGCATACAAGACTATCAGGAGAGACGGAGACTCATATGATTGTTTATTTGGATACAATGACAAATCTTGGAGGTTAGTCTGTACTAAAGACAGATATAAATTTGTTCACAACAAAGTCTTCACTGATGTCTCAGGTCCTCCTTCCTCCAGAGTTGGAGTGTACCTGGATCACAGCGCAGGTATTCTGTCCTTCTACAGCGTCTCTGAAACCATGACTCTCCTCCACAGAGTCCAGACCACATTCACTGAACCTCTACATGCTGGACTGGGGTTAGACTTTATTGGAGCCTCTGCTGAGTTTCTAGAAGTGAACTAAAGCGAATTTTGAGTCCATCAGACCAAAATCATGGACTGAGATCCTTGAACTCTTGAGATGTTCTGGTTTGTAAATGTTTGTGGATCAGTCTCACCAAAAACTCTGGGTTTAGTTCTTCATTTCAGCTTTTTGATTCTTTTCTAAAGATGCTGATTTGGTCGCAGCTTTAAGGACAGTGATTGTGGAGAACTTTGATTGTTTGTATTTCTCATGTTGAAAGATCTTCATCAAGTTTGATATCAACAACATCAAGATGATGGTTTGTTCAAATCACCTTCAGTTGGTGCAGATGTTGAAGGTCTGAGACTTTAGAAAAAAGTGAGGTCAAAATCGCAGAAAAAGGACGACCTTATTTCCTGTCCCAAATCCAAGCGTCTAAAGTCTTTCCAGTCGTCCCCAAAAACTCTTCAGATGATCTGTTTCTTTCTCTGTTTGCTGAATAATTGTGTTCATGTGATCGATGGATATTTCTAAGGCTGCAACAACGAATCGATTAAGTCGATTCGTCATGACGAAAAAATTCGTTGCCAACTAATTCTGTAATCGATTCGTCGGGTCTTTATATATGTCCATGGACACCGGCGTGTAAACATCAGCAGGACGCACAGAAAAGAAACAGCCATGGCCGAGGCAGCAGCTGAGAAAAACATGGACACAACCCAACCCAAATCCCGACCTAAAACATCAGTGGTGTGGGAAAACTTCACCAAGACTGAAAAGGAAGGCGTTCAGTGCAACATTTGCAAAGCCCGTTTTGCATGGCACGGGAGTACATCGATGATGCATGCGCACAGGGCTCTCAAGTCTCACGCATTCAGCGTATGACACACGCATTCCCACTCGTTCACACGCTCACACACCACACATTGTATTTCTCACGCATTTAAATGAACACGGTGATGTGCACCAAGTTGCACCTCTTTAACTATGGAACAGGTGGAAATCAACTGAGTTCCTCCGAGAGTTCAGAAGCTGCGTGCCACGCGCAAGCCAATCAAATAAAGTATATCTACTGAACAGCCAATCAAAAAGCAGCATTGCTGTATCCGGGTAGCTTTTGATATCTTGCGGTTTGACTACAGAAGAAGACAGACACTCGCCGAAATAGAGCAGGTTTTTATAAGGCCGAGATAGACCCGATGATTACAGTAAGTCAGTAACCTACACATGCAGAGACCTCAACACCTCATGGCAGATAAACTCATATGATAAACTAAAGCCCTATGCTATTGCTATTAACAGCTGCATTGATGAATTTAGCCTGTTTATCCGATTAATCGATTAGTTATTAAAATAGTCGGCAGATTAATCGATTATCAAAACAATCGTTAGTTGCAGCCCTAGATATTTCTGTCTGCTTCTGTTGGATCAGTGTGTTTGTAAAGACATCTAGAATCAGACTTTGGACAGATCCACATGTTGTTATGAGCTATTCAATCACTCTAATAATAATAATCACATTTATTAGTCCGACTGTTTGGATGTTTCTGACTCAGCTCAGATTGTGGTCAAGTCTCTGATTGTGGGTAAAAAAATCATAAAAATCCTCAAACTGAGTCACTGAAATCACCTCGTTTGTTTTGGAGGAATAACGGGCGCTTAAAACGGAGGTAGACCGGACAAGAGCTAAAAAGCCGGGTCAACATAAACGATGGGGGACGCTTGGGGATCTTGGTGACCCTGTAACCTTTCTGCTGGACAGGTAAACCGCTTTAACAAAGGAAGACAAGTGTCTGTAACAGAAGTGTTTCTTGTCAAACGGACCTGCTGTAGCGTGTTGTAGCGCCATCGCTAAACTGTCCTCCCTCGGGTCCTGGACTATGTCACTTTATCCTCGTTGTAGAAGTCCTGCAAACATTGTGTTTGCTGGTAGTCTGTTGGCATCTACAGTAGCACCAATGCTTTTGACTTTCACCTTGACTGGGCCCCATTTGTAATGATCTGAAGTATTTATCTGCATTATATCTGAATTTAATCGGAACGATACGAGCGAGCAGGAGCGTCTGTTTGTGGGCGGGGCTTGAGGAGAGAGGAGGAACTAACTCAGATCCTGACTACCCCACCTTTAATTAAACACTTTTAAAACTGATGATGGAGGTTTGTTTTCAATCCAGATACACAAAGAGAGCCTGTGAACATTTACACTTTCTAACTGTCCTTCAAAATAAAAGCATAGTTTTTTCTGCAAAGTTTCATTCACAAGAATGGAGACGCAGATAAATCACAAATTTAAACATCATTTTAAACAGATGTCGGGTAATTATGTTTATTATTAAAGTTCATGAAGGGATAAACTGTTGCTCTACTTTTTCTTGAATTTTAATAAATGTGACTGATTGTTTTGAAAGGAAGGACTCAGGTGCAGAACTTAAAATATTTCTTAAAGCGAAAAAGGAAACCTCTCTCACACATATATACTGACATACAGAGACAATGAACCGACCAAGACAGAGGGGAAGACAGAGACTATGTACACACTGGGTAACGAGCAGCAGGTGAGGCAGACGAGACACAGGTGAGACTGATGATTGATTAACGAAGGAGGGAAAACTAGGGAAGTAGAAACACAAGGAGTCAACTCCTACAAAATAAAACAGGAAACCAAACACAAGTAGAAGGGACTAAAAAATATCTGAGACCAGCGTTGGGAGTCCAAAATAAAATAAAATGATCAAATTCTGGAAAAGTTTCCTGGAAATGTGCTTTTGTGGTCAGTAACCTCTGATCTGTAGTTTTACTTTTACCGTTTCTCCTCGTCTTCTAATCCTCCTCTCTCCTCTCAGTCGTCTTTATTACCGTCAGCCTTATTATATAACCACTACAGTCCAACTGTCTGTGCATGTCTGTGCACGGTTCCTGTTACAGACTATATTTACCTGACTGTACCGCAGGACTATCTGACGGCCTCAGATATCTGCCTCCAGTCTCCGACCCGCTCGCCGGTTGTAATGTGGAGATTGTTCCTGATTGCATTGATCCGAGACTATATTTAGACGCCAACCGTGTACAAAACATTTATCAGTGTCTGCGAGCTGCCGCGGCTCAGGAGAGTACTCGCTCTGTCTGATTTCCTTTTTTCTCTGCTTTTGGCATTTGTTTTCAGCCTTTTTTATTTGTCTCCGAGGAGCAGCAGCGATGCTTCTGTTCAGAGGCTGTGTGCTGTGTTAAGTTTGAACCCGGTGACTGTGGGAAACTGGGAGAATTCCAATGAGCTGCTTTCTTCACTGCTTTAAAACTAATGGAGGAGATGGGAGGCTTTTAAAGAGGATGCACTGGGGCTACTGGATTCAGTTTCATCAAATATCGAGGATCAGATATCAGCCTGTCACTGCAGTTTACTGTTGAGATCACATAACAGAGGTTGGTTTTTATTCGGACAACAACAGACGATGAAAAGAGTCTCGAAATCAGGAAACAATTCCTTTAAAACAGAAAAAGGTGAGGCACATGTGGTTTTAAAGTTTGATTCAGCAGAAAGGAAACTCAAAGTGCTTCTTACGAAACCTTAAAAGAAAGATGACAAAAGCCAACCCTAATTTACATCGCATCCTGAACGGCTACGGAAAGGCCGTATCCTTCGATCGTAACCAAGTTAACGTGTCAATTTCCACCGGCTTCTTTCCGTTCAGCTGAATCTCTTTATTGACTTTTACTCCCTTCACATTGGCCCCAAAATAATCATCTACGTCGTTGTGGAAACATAGAGATATAAAACAGAAGAGGACCCAGGATGGAGCCTTGGGGAACCCCAAATTAAATGTTTCCTGACCTTTTGACTCAGTGTAGTCTCTGTCCAAAAGTTGGACTTGGGTCGGAGAGTCCTTTGTAGTCCTGCAGGTGGTCCAGGTCGTATATTGTGGTCAAATATGTCAAACGTAGCAGATCCAGTCACACCAACACTGAGATCACACCATCATCAGTAAACTGTAAAACAAAAACAGTGAAATACCCTCAGAAGAGACGACAGGAATTTACTGTCATCTGAAGGTACATTGTTGGTAATTTATTTCAACTACTATAAATTTACAGTCATTTTAGTGACAAAATTATGGTATTAGACATTATTGTACTTGCTCTGTACAAGTGGTTCAACCAAGGACATAGTAGCGTCCACAATTATTTGTGACCTACAGTAGAAACCTTTTTAAAAAAAAATTTTTTACACTACAATATTTTTGACCAAACTGACTTTGTGTCTCTTTACGGGAAGCTTAAACATCAAACATTTCACTTCTCCACTTTTTATTTTACTGTTAACTTCCTAAAGTTGTCAGAGAGTCCTTTCAAAATAAGAGCCTGCTGTATCAAAAGAGGGAAACAAGGCAAAAATGCTAAATAAGTGCATCACAAAATTCGATTTTATCTCGTTTTGAAGCTTAAATCTTACTAGTTTACTGATTGTCTAGACTTGATTGTTCTTTTTCAACAATTTGTGCCATTTTTACAACCTGTCGACACCCAAGAGAAGAGGGAAGTTTGAGTCCTTGTGAAACTTTTTTTAAAGAAATCTGTGGGCAGAATATCCAGACAGAAGAATACACAAACTCTTTTAGTGAAACTTCCTGCCCTGGGGTCAGATATTTAAGGTGTCACAGACGCGTTCTGTCAGTCATGTCAGGAAAATGGTTACAGGCAGCTTTCACATGCTGGAATCAACACTGAGACTTACGTAACCACAGCCAACCATATGCACACACACACCATCAAACACACACAGTAATAGATTTCCATCTCCCACAGAGGATTAAGATGCAGGGTCTCGTCTATGAACGTTAAGATAGCATGAATGAGCTAATCTCGCCTCATCACACAGCGCTCGTTTCAGTCGAGACGGTTTCTGTCGGATGGTTTGGACTTCAGTCGCAGTTTAACTTGTTCGTATTAATTACTGATTTCATCATGTGATGAGGCGCCGAGTCTTATCTGTTTAAAAACAACAGATAAGAGAGTCTGTTATTGAGCAGAGCTGGGGGTTTATTTTAAATTAGAGAAACTGAGAATTCAACGTGTCCCCCAGATGTCAGCGGACTGACGGGTCGGCCCAGAGGAGTCGTTTGTCGGGTGGTCAGCTGAACCAATTAACCTGGTTTTAGGTTTACACAGAGTCAATGTGGCACCATGGTCGACTATTTGGCTTCAAAATGACCCTTTGGAAAAAAAGGTTAATGTCACTTAAATACAACCAATTTTAGTGTCTCAGAAAATATTCATAGTTTCTAACAAAACCATTTTAGTGTCTAATGTAACATTAAGTGTCCAAAACATAAAATTTAAGTTTCTACCATAACTAATCTTTATGCTGACATGACCTTTTTTGTGTCTAACTGTGACCATATTAAAAGTCAAACAACCTTTTTTTGTGTTATTGTCAACAATGTTATCCAACTAATCAATTTAAGTGTCTCACAAAACTATTTTTTAATCTCTAACGACCTGATGTTGCAGCTTTTGTGTCCAAACAACCAATTCCAGCAACAGATGTAAGATTTTTCTAGTGTTGAGTGCAAATTTAGTGACAAAAATAAACATTTCTGGAGTCGCACATAATTTCAAGCGGCTGTACGAACAATTTTAGATGCCTAAAACCTATTTTAAGTGAGAAACGTCACTATTTTTAAGCTACTACAATAACCATTATTAGTGTCATAAATGACCAATTCCCGGTGTCTTAAATATCAGTTTTATGTGCGAAATTTAAAACGACTCTATGGAAAAAAAAAGGTCAATGTCACTTAAAAACAACAAATCTAAGTGTCTAAAAAGATATTTATAGTTTCTAAAATAACTATTTTATGGACTAATTGTATTTCAGCAATATTTCAGTCTAAAATATCTGTTTTATGTTCGAAATACAACCAGTTTTAAGTGTCCACAGTAACCGATTTATGTATGTTACTTAACCAATCTTAAGTGACTAAAAGAACAATTTTATGTACCTAACAAAGCCCGTTTTAACAGACTGAGATAATAACCATTTTTAGTATCAAACTTAACTAATTTTAGGAGTCCAACAGAACCATTTTTTGTGCCTAAAATAACCTTTATAATGGCTAAACAGTTTTAAGTGTATTGCAGTTTTCAACAATTTTAAGTGCCTTTTACATCTAAAAGCATCTAATGTTATCACTGTTGGTCGATATTAGTCACGATTTTTAGTGTCCAATAAAACCATTTTAGGCGCCTGATAACCTCTGTTACCATTCCAGTGTGGTGTCTTATGGAGTAGTAATGCTTTTAAGTGTCTAATAAAACCATTTTAAGTGTTTTTCGTGTCTAAGGAGTTCTCTTTAGTGTCGAACTCTAACTCTGGCTCTTGTTTTCGGAGATAAATAGTGGCCACTCGTTCTGGTGTAACTGGAGGATATCGATGAAACAGCTGAAGTTCTTTCTGGATGCCAGAGAAACTCAAAAAGATCTGACGCGGCGAAGTGGTTATTTGACTTGACTCAGGTATCTTTCTGTTCCCCACAAACTTTCACAAAAGGAGTACTTATCCGGACATAAATTTACCAATCTGTCTCCTGCAGCACATTTTTTCCCTCTGATGTCTGCTCGTGTTTGAGTGCATCCCTCGGTTTGAACTTTCCTCCCCAATACAGGGAAAATGTGGAACTCGGAGTGCTGGCTCAGCATCGCGGGCCTCTGTGCTCTTTATTGTTGGCAGGAGTAACATTAAGGAGCGCACCATGCAGCAGGGAGACACATCAACTGTGTGTAACTCCACTCCTCTCCGCTCCCTGAGGACATCCTGCTGCTGCCTCCTGTTTCATATGAGCTGAAATGTGAAATATTTCACTCAGCCGGGCCTGCATGAATACGCCGTGTTTCCAGAGGTGCGTGCAACCAGAAATGTGAGTTATTGCGCATGCATACTCTGACGGTCTAGATTCAATCATCATTTCATAAAGGTAGAAATCTGAAAAATGTAGGAAAATCTCTGCTTTCACCCCCCGTGTGTGTGGGTTTCATACAAACACAGATGGATGTTGAATTGATGTGTTTAATTCAAGGCCGAAGTGTTGATGGTTCTCAGTGTGTTTAACACGTATTCTTGGGTGTGTTAAAGCAGACCTTTGCTTCTCTGTTGATAGGCGTCCTATAAGAGCTGCACAACCCTCTGAATATACGAGGGAAATATTCAGCACATTTACTTACGTCTCATAAACTCTTACGGACTCAGATTGCTGAAATATTTCACCTGAATGAGGCACTAAAAGGCCAACGCTACGAACAATAAAAAAGGAAAAGACGGCAGTGTTTGACTGGAGGAGGTGGCAGAGGTTAAAGCTCCTGTAAGGAGATCTGCGACATTTATGAAACTGATGCTTTTTTATGACGTGCAAAAAAAAAGACACCAGGAGCGAGAAAAATGACGGATCTGATATCATCGCTTTTATTGGGAGGGTCGGAGTCTGCTAGGCTCTGGATATCCATCTTATACTCCGAATATTCAATAATTTATTCTATCAGGAATCAGCATTTGATATTTTTTACTTTAGCATGTTCAGGGCAAGATATGCAAAGACTGCTTTGACCACAGGGGGCGCCAAATTAGCACCAACCAAAAGTGGGTGTACAAAATTTGTAGCGCCAAACTTGCTGCAAAGTGATAAGTTTAAAAGTTAAACAAACAGTGATATAATTGTCGTCCAATAATTAGAGTGAACTATTTCCTGTTAACATAATCTGTCAGATTATTTATGATCGGGATTTTTGCTAAAATTTTTGTTTTCGGTTTTCATATCAGGAAAAGTTTGCACATAAATGAAAAACATATAGTTGTCTTTATTTATTTGGCTCTTCAACTGCTTTGACCACAGGGGGCGCCAAATTAGCACCAACTAAAAGCCAACATGAACATTTGTCACGCCAAAGTTGACTGGTTTAAAAATTACACAAACAGTGATGTAACTGTTGTCCACCAATAAGAACAAACAATTTCTTAACATCATAATCCATCACATTATTTATAAAGTCATTTTCGCCGCAATTTTTGTTTTTAGTTTTCTTGTCACTAAGAGTTCACGCATCAACAAAAACATCGCCATTGTTATTTATTCAACTTTTATTCTTCGCATGTATTTTCAAACATGCATAAGTCACTTTATATTCTCGCTCTATGGACTATTGGGAGGATAGGAGTTAGCTAGGCAACCGCCTCACAACAAATATCCATCTTATACCCCGACTATGTGAAAAATTTGACTATCAGCAGTCAGCAAATGATTTTTCTTACTTAAGCTTTTATTTTGTGCTAATTTGGAGCAGACATTGCATGTCTTGTGCGAGTGTGAAAATTTGTTGCGCCAAACTTTTTGCGAAGTTTCACGTTTAAAAATTAAACAAACAGTGATGTAATTGTCGTCATCCAATCAGAGCGCACTATTTCCTCTCATCATGATTGGTCAGATTATTTTTGTTTTCAGTTTTCTCATCACGAAAAGATCGCGCATTAACGAAAAATGTATGATCGTCGTTATTTATTCGTCTCTTAATCTTTGCATGTTTTCCAAAATGAAGTCAAACTCCTCGTAACCTCACATACGTCACGTTACATACTCGCTCTATAGACTACGGCGACCCAGAATCCTTTGCCCGGCGTTTGAGGCTGATGGGAAGTTTATTTATCCGTCGCTGAGTCATGCTGGGACGCTCAGCCGCAGATGTTGACAGATCGTCTTTAAATGTAAATGAGCTGTCAGCGGGGTGACAAAATCCATTTGTAAACTGAATGATTTACACCCCGGCTGTCAATGAATCAAACGCTCAACCGTCGATCAATAAATCAATCAAATCATCAATCTGTGAAGACGTGTGTATGTGTGTGTGTACATGTCAATAAGAGTTGATCTAAGAAGACGTTCAAACTCTTTTATCTGCTCTTTCATCGACGACTGTCAGGCCTTGAGTGAGACGAGAGGAGATAGCCTGCAGGAGGAGAGAGGTGAGATGATGTTGCCATGGTAACGCATGTTTTCCACCCTGCAGGAACAGCAGAAACTCATAAAATTTCATGTAAACAGCACAGCGGTGCGACTATAAACTTTATTCAATAGGAAGGCTTTCTGATACGACATGACATCCTTTCTCTCTTTGCCAAACCCGCCCTGAAAAATCACTAAACGCAGCTTATCATGTTTTTTTTCATATTCATCCGCCGTAATGAAGACACGTCTCAACACCTCGGCGAGTGGAGAGCGTGTTACCTCCTGGTGTTAGCTGAGGTGAGGAGGAGTTTGTGTTCCAGCGTGACCCCTGAATCATTTTAATAAACATTAAATCCCTCCCCTGCTGAGTCCTGCTGGATTCTCTCACATTTCAGAGATTATCGATTCGCAGGCTTCTCGAAAACTAAAGGGAGCAATGGATCAAATCCTAATTAGACTCTGAGATGTTTTTCTTGTTGATCCTGGAGGCTCAATCCAGGAACTTTTGTTCGTAAACAACTATTTCTCCAAGCCCCACGAACCACAAAGGTTTTTGTTTTTTTTGTTTCTGAAATCCATCAGTGGAAGCTGGAAAATAAACCCAACATGAAAGTGCAGAAAACAACAACACTGCAGTTCCTCGAGTGTCCACTAGAGGCTGGCTACAAAAGCAGAGAAGAGAATGTGTTAACGTGAGGGTTTTAATCTGGCCTGGTACACAGTGATGTGTCGTTCATGAACGATTCGTTCAAAAGAACTGAACTGCTGAGTGAACGACATGAACTGAATCACTCCGAGACCTGATTCGCTCCTTTTTCAGTTCAGTTGAGCTCAGCCGCGAGCCTGGCGTGCTGAGTGCCGACGGCGACACATTGAATCAGCTGACTGATTCAGTGAACGAATCTTTTAAACAAATCATTTTAATGACTGAATTCTAAAGATTCACTACAGTCAAAAGAACGGTTCTTCCCATCACTACTGGTATAACACTTCTGATGACTCGCTTATACCGCCGATATCGAGGCCGTGAGTTTCGCTTGATTCTGCAAAATCCTGGTCACGATCTGATTTGAAGAACAAGTACTAACGACAAGTCTGTGACCTGAACTTCACTTCTTCTCTTGTTAGTATATTATCCAGGTTTTTTACATCCTATTTTAGGTCATATTTGTTATTGTTGTTATTTTAGGCCAGGCGAATAATTTCTGCCTAATAGGAGTTAACGTTTCCAAAACAGCGAACTTCATTGTTTGGCTTTATTAGGACACCTCGACACCATGTCTTAATTTTAGTGATCTCTCAGTATTAATAAATAATAACAGACACATGTCAAATTTGGAAAAGTTGTGCAACTCGGGAAATGTGTGGAGAAGATCGTGTTTGCACCAAACTTGAGATATTGAAAAGGCAGTCAGTGTTATTCAAAGAGTGGCCACCAGGGTAAATTTGTGCCTCTAAATGTTTATTTGTACCTGCCCAGGTATATTTTCCATGAACCATTTCTGCATTTTTCTTCATTTTTAACCATTTTCAATAACTTCTCATGATTAATAAACAACCCTGCACCCTCCTGCCTCTGTTCTTCATCTTCACTCTCCAGCTGATCAGAAACAAACGTCCCTCGTTAAGTTTCCTCTCATGCTCAGATTCGGGGTCGGACGTCTCACGACCCGCCGCTTGTCTCTCTCTTGACTTTTGTTGCATTTTAAATTCAACCTTCCCGATGTGACACTTTTCCAATAACAAGATCGTGAGTTCAACTTTTTAAAATGGGAGTGAGGCTGACGGTCTGAACAAAGTCTGGACAAACTCTTTATAACAAAAACAAAACAAGTGTCGGGCAAAACCAGAGCTGCAAAAATACACAATGATGGCAAGAAAACGGCAGAGGACATATTACAACTATTCAGGCTAATACCGTACCAATGCCGGTGTTGGGTAGTAACGCGTTATTAGCTACGCCATGACTTAACACGGTTACTTTATCTACGTTCCTTTTAGTGAGGTTTTACAACAGCACACAGTTTCCGCAACATTTTAACAAACATGAAATATTTTAACGTTTAACAAACACACGCCATGAAGAGGAACAGACGGGTCAGGGAACGGAGAGAAGAGGAAGATAAGTTTCTCCTCGAGGATTTACTCACATTATCTTCAACTCGAGAGAAAAGAGAAAAACAACATTTCGGTAACATATAAACGGTGTCCCGGGTCAGAAATCCTTTCTACAGCAGCAACAACAATCGACTGAAGCACCGAGAGGAGCGGCGTGCTTCGACAGAGTTAGCAGCTAAGGTAGCTAATGTAGCATCCAAGATCGAGAGTCACAGCAGCGAGTACACTCCCACTCCACCCGAGCAGCAGAGGTTGGAGTTTAAAAGACGGACACATGTCCAGACTTAACTTAACTCGTATGTTAAATTATTTATTTGGATCTCTTTTAGTAATATCAGTCTATTATTCCAGGAGTTCAACGGTAAATCTTTGGTGTTAAGGTCCTTCCACACCAGGACCGTTTTTTTCGATTATTTCGATTATTTCAGACGTCAATATTTTTTTTCGAACCTGTATTCTGTCAATACAAGCGTTCACATCAGCGACGTTTCCCCGTCCTGCAATATCCGGCTGTTAAGCCGTGACGTAGCCGCGTTCTCTTTTTCCACTTCCGGGTCCAGCGGAGTTGTTGTTATAATGCCTCAGTACTATGTCCCTTGCTGCTTAAACTGATCAGAGACAAAAACAGCGACTAAACTATCATTCTACAGATTTCCTCCCAACAACAAAGACAACAAAATAACTTTATCATTTCTGTATTGTATCCATAGACTGTATACAGTCTATGATCGTATCACAAACACACGGCATCACATCCATTCATTCATTGAATTCAAAGCTTTGCGCACCAAAGCCTCGGGGTGTCTTTGGTTTATCGTTTTACATTTATTGTCCACTTGATGGCGCAATAGAGCAAATGAAGCACGATCATGAAGCTTCGGCCCAGGAGGCGAGTAATTGGATGAAAAGCTTCGATGCTTCATGAGGCTTCATCTCGCCATCACTAAAATTTACGTTAATAACTCTATCCGAGTTGAAAGCTTTAAGTCCCTTTTTAACTCTGAGTGGTTCCCTTCTGAAAAAGGAGGTTATTTTAAAGAGATTCACGGGTTCCGCCATTGTTGTTTTGAATGGAGAGTGAATGGAGGCTGATTCCCCATGGACCCGGAAGCCGCTCCGCTCACAAAATGACATCACGCTTAACAGCCGGATTGCGGCATTTATCTTTTCGTATAACGGCCGAATTTTCTAAAGTTTCTCATACTGTGTGTCCACTTCTGACCAATCAGATTGCGTGTTGTTGCAACGCCTGATTCACCGGTATATCCAACATGGCTGACCTGCTGATTTTTAACGTGTATATCTATCTATCTATTTATAATTCATAGCTGTAACGAGTTACTATTTTTCAAGCACAAAGTCTTATTGAGAGATTTACTGATTCCAACCTGTGACTCTCCTCAAACATCTGCAGGTTATCTCAGGCTGTAGGGAGGAAAAACACGCGGTGATGTGGAGTCGAGTCATTCTGCTGATCGACAGCAGCAGGAAAATTTAACAAATTATGAGTCACTGTGCAGGTTCAGGCTTCATGTGAGTGTTTTCTTTTCCATTCTGGGAAATCCGTTTAAACTTAGTCTGACAGAAAAAAACAAAAAGTTCCCGACGAAGTAATCTTCCCAAAACAAACTTAACACCCTCTTTAGAGAGAAGTGAGAGTCTTCTCTGAGCGTTTCGACTTCATGTACGAAGCAAACCTGACAGATCTTCAATACGTCTGGATGAAAAGTGCTTTTACTCGCCAAACTCCCCGTTTCCAACCTGCCAGATTTTGGAGGCAGGATGTAAAATCTAATGTTGAAGCTTTTAGGGAGACGCACAAAGAAACCTGACGGGTATCGAGTTCAGTCGACGTCCCTGAAAGTTCAGCAAATACTGATCCCACAAAGTCCTGAAAAGGAGCTCCTCTTCCAGACTGTAGAACAGTACCCCCCAGTGTGCAAACACACACAGACACACAAACACAGTTACGCACTGCAGCCAGATATTATGCCAACAACCCCGGACGACGGCGGCGGCGACGTGACATTTGAATGAGAACTCAAGATGCTGAAGTGAAACTCTGAAAAACGTGGTGGTTGGTGGATTGTGGCGAGCCGCTTCAGTCCGTCCCCCCTCCTCACTTTTCCTCTTTCTCTCTGTCCTCAGTCTCTCTCTCTCTCTCTCTCTCTGTCACTCTGAGTTTTTTCCTCTATAACTAGAACTTATCCTGATTTCAACTTCCCCTCCCCTTTATTACAAACAGCCTGCCAGGGTATCCTTATTTAGGAGTTTGTCCTCAATTTTCCTCCCCGCGCTGAAACACTAAGTCCTCTATAATAGAGGAAAACAACAGCACACACACACACACACACACACACACACACACACACACACACTTTGTTCTCTCTCTCTTTCCTCTAACTCCAGCCAACGCTGGCGTGTGCGGCGCTCGACTCTTTCGCGCTTAGTCAGCTGAAACTCGGATGCATCGTCTGAACCGAAAAAAGGAAAAAAAAAAAGCCTCTCTGCATTCCTGTGGCGGCATCTAAAGGAACATTTCAGTCAAAATCAGCCGTGGCGTCCTAATGAGATCAAGATGGATTATGAGCTGCACTCTGCAGCGAGCTGCCAGCGCCTGACACGGCCCGCCGTGCGCCGAGCTGCTGTTCGCTAAGATGTAAAAAGGGCAACTTTTAATCTCATTCCCCCCGCGTGGAAAGGCATAATAAGTAATCGTGTTACCCATCAGCCCCGACTCCGCGCTCGGGTTATGTGCATTACTGACAGTGAGGGATGATGTGCTGAAATTTAACCCAGCACTTACCTCGACTCAGATATACGCCGGCGTGTGTGAGAGTGTGTGAAAGTGTGTGTGAAAGTGTGTTAATCTGTGTGTGGTGCGAGGAAGAAAGAGAGGATATTCCAGAGAGACAGAAAAAGTGAAGTCAAAAGGGCAGCAGTCTGCAATTTCAAGACAAATCTGCTCAAGTCCAGCCGCCTTTACTCGCCCGGTTAGTTCATCAGTACTCTCTCTCTCTCTCTCTTTCCAGCATACGACCATCACTCAGTACGTTTACACGACTCTCGAGAAAACCGAATTATCGCCTTATTCCGATTAAGACCAGACAACTGAAGTTCATGTAAACACCTTAGTCTGACTATAATCGGAGTTTGAGAACTCTAATTAAGACACCCAGATAATGAGATTGGAGTTCAATTTTCTCTACCATGTAACCAGCGTAGTCAGAGTAAGATCAGACGATGCATGTGCGCATGCGCCACGCCCCTGTAACCCCGGAGCAAAAACCACCAGAGAAGAGGAGTAGCGTGCGTCTACATCATGTAGGACAAAAACAACGCTGTACGATGCTCCATCTTCTTGCAGCAGTTGTAGACACTTCTGACATCTGACACCGACCTGCTGCTGTTGTTGACAGTTGGATGGGGTCGGAAACAGCGCCGCTGAAAAGACCCATATCGCCCCCTAGTGTTGGGGAGGAGGACACGTTCACGTTAATAATTAAAAAAACTGAAAAACTGACTCATGAGCTTGGTCCGCTTAAACTTTTCACGTAAACGCACTGACTGTCGTACAAATCATGGATCAATCAGATCTTTAATTTCATGATTTTATTCCCTGATTTTCTGCAACGATACAGGAATGGGAATGATGTGAAATCGCAAGAAGATGAAGCACCGGCTGCTAGTGAGTGAGTGAGCTAGCTGTAGCATCTTTAAAAAAGTGATTTTCAGAGATTTTTTTTCTTTTCAACCGTAATGAAAATAGCAGGAATATTAGATATGTGTGAATGTCTGTGAGAGTCAATTAAAAAAAAAAAAAGCATTATATTTGAATGTTTGAGGACGATGGCTCAAACATACATAATAAACAAAAAAAACAATTTCACTTTGGAGGCGATGCTAAAAAACGACAATTTTCTGAGATTTGCTGTAAATCCACGAACCGTTTCAAGTTTTTAACATTTTCCTTTGACCGTGTTCATTCTACTAGAAGTAGTGTACTTCAAAATAAAAGCAGGAAACAAAGTCAAAGACAATAAAGAACATCAAAATAAAAGCACGACAGGCTCGTTTTGGCGTCATTTTAATTTTAGGGCTGATGAAGATTCAGAAAAATCGTAAATTTGAATCTTATTAGAAATAGATGATGACGTATTTATCAGTCAAGGTCACGATGTAACATGTTGCTTCACCCTCGTCTCTTCTCGTTTGGCTGATTGTGTTTAATTTTTTAAGTTTTACTTTTTTTTTATTGTTTTCCATAAAAGTTAAAATTAAATCTTTATATTTTACAGCTTTAATAATCAAACCTGATTTGATTACTTAGTCAACTTTAAGACTTCTTAACTCCGAGGAAAGTTAAGTGTTTGCTTTTCTGTTTTTTTGCGTCTTTTGCACGCCGACGTGAACCTCAGTTAATCCCATTTCCCCCCAGATATTAGACAGGGCCGTTATTATCCTCCGTCTGAAGGAAAACCATCATTTTAACCTTTAACCAGTTTTCCTAAACCACTTTTATTTTGCCTTTTTGTGTCATTTAATCGGGACTAACTCTTTAACATCCATCGCTCTGTTTTTAATAATGAGTACTGAAGCCTCGTCTGTGTTCTGGGAGGTAAAATGACTGTTTTTCTGAATGAGTTAAGAGGAGAAAGATGTAACGACTGTTTTTGCTTTCCAACAAAGTGAGCTCGTCTATTTTTAGAGTTTTTTTCTTTCTGTAATGTTGTCAGAAACCTAAAATAAAAAATCCCTCTGAGCCGGCACTTTCTGTGGATTCGAGCTCGCTGCGGTGAGGAGACGCTCGCCAGCGAGGATTACACTGCAGCAATTTGCTCCAAACCGAGTCGACTGAAGTAACACCAAAACAATCTGAACCTGCAATTTACACACAGAAAAAAAACAGCTCCAGGTTCGAAAATAATAAACCAACGACAGATTTCCACTGTAAAATCTCCGTCTGCGAACGCCATCGAGTGAGTGAGTGAGTGAGTGAGTGAGTCAGTGACAGATCACGGCTTACAGGACTTTTCCATTTCCATCTCCCCCACCACAGTCCACTCATCCTCTCCTGCACACTCATAAAGCACAATTAACTCCTTATACATATTCATTAGCTCAAGCATGTTGTCATTCGCTTCAAAATGATTGCAATCGAATTAGCATAATTAAACATTATCTATGGTAATGCTGCTGGACCGCCGGCCCGACCGACCAGCCTCCCCAGCCGTGTTTGGATGTGTGTCAGCGGCGCTGCGCTGCGCTACGCTACGCACAGCCATGATGGATAATATAATTATGTTTGGGAGACAATGGGAGCCCTGCGGTATTGTTATTAATGTTCTCTGGTTATAACGACGCCCCCTACATGAATAGGCATGTCTGCGAGAGGAAATCTGTGTGTGACGACAACCAGAGACAGAGAGAGAGAGAGAGAGAGAGAGCACATGACTGAGAGTGTGAGACATGAGAGGAAAGAGTGAGTTTGTTCATCTTTTCTTCTTAAAGTTATTAAATCAAACACCTTTACAGTCAGGTGAGTCACAGCGAGAAAGATAAATATATCAGTGTGTAAAATAAACTGAAACTCCGATCTTAAAAACTCAAACATGGTTTGAGTCGCTCAGAAGATGATTTTCTGTTGTTTATGATGAAAATCATGTTTTTCTTGTTGTCTTCATGTTCATATGTTCATTTTTCTGATACTCGCTCTTTAATGTCTTTTGTATCAAATTTGACACAAACTTTTATAAACTTCTGTCAAATCAATATGATCAACAAATGACATAAAAACACGTGAATACAGTCAAATAAATGATAAAATTCTCCTTTTGTAGTTTATCAGTTTCCAAAAACATTTAATGTATCAAACCAGATAAATAAAATAAATTAGATTTTTTTTGGTTTTCAGTAGTGAGTGAAATCAACATTTCAGCTCCAAAAAAATGTGAATTTTCTGGCCATAATTTGTGGTTTCAGTCGTTAAAGTGTTTGAGGACATACTGTGAGAAAAGTAAGTGCAAAATTGCATTTCGGAGTATTTCTTCTTTCACATCTCTGTGAATCTCTGGCAGACTCAAACGATAGGATCAGACATAATGAGATTTCCTATGTCACAAATCAAAGCTCCGCCCCCAGAGCCTCGCTCTGCAGGCCAGACTCAGAAAAATAGAGAGGACGATCGTGGAACAAGCGTGTGCGTTAGGGGATAGCAATGCTCCTAAGGAAGTTAATTATATTAACATTCATAGTGTCCCCAAAGACATTAGTGCTTAATAGCTCCTCTGTCACCGCTGATGTTAGGCTACAAGCTAACATGAAGACGAGTGTGCAGAGCAGCACTGACTCCGCCCACGACTCAGAGGCGTATTGTTAATGATCTACTGGAGCTCTGCAGAAAAAAAGGTCTTGAAAATGACAGGTAACGTGATTTTGGCTTAAAACTTAATCGCAATTCAAAAACCACAAAGAACACTTTAAGTAGTAAAAAAAACGATCAGAGCAGGACTTTAAAGGGATATTCCGATGTAAAATTAAATTAGGGTCAAACACAGCGTAACACCAAGTTAGACACCCCCTTAATCTCTTTGTGTTTCCCACATTTGAAGTTTAGTTTCTTTGACGCAAAGTTGATTTTTAACAAACTTAGTGCGCTTCTTTTTTGGTCGTCAAACATGGATCCATGTCATTGAAACAGTGTGAAAATCTGTCATAAGAAGTAATTCTTATATTTCAGATTCCTGAAATATTTAAGCGTGCACACACTCATGCATCACTCCATTTATAAATCAAACTAAACTTGAGAGTATGCACACACAGTTCAGCCTCATATTCGAAGTTATGATCACAATCTTAACAAGCAGGCTCTGTTTTGTGAGCGTTAAACATTCACAGTATGAATGAAACTCTTAAAGAAACATTCAGTGAGTAAACTTTTCTGTTTTTAGAGTCTTCAGCTCCTCAAACGCCCTTTCACCTTATTTCGCCGCACACCACCTTCGCATTAGCTCCCACTCACCGCGCTGACACTCGCAGATCTAAAATTACGCCTCATGTTGTAACCGAGTGAATCCCGGGATGAACCCGTCCTCATCCTCGTGTTCCTCCACGTGCGCTCTGGGCGTGTCCGTCTGACGAGTCCACACCCTGTACAGCTGAGCCGAATGCCGGGTAGCCAAACAGAGACGCTGGATGACTCATCAGGGCGTGTGTGTGTGTGAGTGTGTGTGTGAGTGTGTGTTTGAGTGTGTTATACTGTTCCCATCCATTCACCACAATAACACAGACCTCACAGGCCAGCAGCTTCTTGCACAAACCCATCCATCCTGATGACAAGTGGTGTTTACATAGTGATGGTTACTTACAGACAGACAAGCTCGCAGTGAAGGAAGATCTATGTTTTACACTTAGCAGCAGTAAAAGCTCAGATCCACAGTGGAGGAGCCCGAGACCCGGAGGCCCCCTGTTAATCTCCCCATCTACTATTGAGCCCTATTTCTCTCATCACTCTGTCTGCAAGTGGAAAAAATATCTGCCAGCGGGATGAGAGCATTTGTCAGTGAAACAGCTTCAAGAGTTGTCATGAACTGAAATTGCAGTGTTGAAATAAGTGAGACCATTTTGCTTCTGAGGAGAGGAGTGAAAAAAAAAAGAAGAAAAAATGACGGGAGCAGGAAGGAGAAACTTTTTAAAACTTCACCAGACACAATTCTTTTCTAATCAGGCGCAAATTTCCTGCTGAATTTTACAACTTTTTGCACATGAACACGTTTCCTTCTAGACACAGCTTGATATCAGTGTAGAATCACTTCTTATGCAGACGATAGACTCATAATCTCAGACTGAAAACTTAAACGTGAAACTTAAATACTTCGATTAATTACATCTGAACTTGAAATCACCCTCAAAGGTTCTTGTTATCATCCATCTTAAACTCGTCATGTCAGAAAGTTGTTCCAGTCGTGTTTTCTTTGGCGAGCGAACGCCGTAAAATCAACTCCACCCTCTGTGAGTCCAAACAACTCCTCCAACTTGTCAGTCATTCAATACAATTAATCAGGACCGTGATTCTGCTGCAGCAAATCAAACAAAAATATAAAGAGCTGAAACTCAGAAGTGGAAAACTGGTTTGAATATAAAAAAAAACTTCTTATTTCATGTTGAACAGGTCATGTCCATCTGTCTTTGTCTGTCATTTTTCTTTCTACAGTCTGGATCCTAAAATACGTCCTCACAGGTCTTCCAGATGTTCTGGTGTCCTGATGGTCTGCTTAGTCCAGCTTTGTTTGACCACGCCTCCAATTTTGTAGAGTAACATTACTGTAGGTCAACAGTGCTATTCAGTGGTCAGGTTACGATGAGAGCGCCTCCTGTAAGCTACTTCAGGCGGCCTAAAGCGCTGGTACACTGAATTATTTTGAGTTTCAACATCTCATTTCAGATTCAGATATGAACTTTTCCCCCTAAAAGTGAGCGTGAAGCGGCTGGGATGCCAATCAGCACCTCCAAGTCCGAGGCCATGGTCCTCAGTCGGAAAAAGGTACACTGCCTTCTCCGAGTCGGAGGGGAGGTTCTGCTTCAAGTGGAGGAGTTCAAGGATCTCAGGATCTTGTTCACGAGTAAGGGTAGGATGGAACGGGAGGATCGGAGCGGTGTCAGCAGTGATGCGGACGCCTAACCGATCAGTCATGGTGAAGAAAGAGCGGAGCCGCAAGGCCAGACTCTCGATTTACCGGTCGATCTACGTGCCGATCCTCACCTATGGTCATGAACTTTGGGTAATGACCGAAAGAACAAGATCAAGGATACAAGGGGCTGGAATGGGTTTCCTCCTCAGGGTGTCCGGGCTCAGCCTTAGAGACAGGGAGACGCTCAGACTAGAACCGCTGCTCCTCCACGTCTAGAGGAGTCAGCTGAGTCAGCTGATTAGGACGCCTTCTGGACGCCTCCTGTTAGAGATGTTCCAGACATGTCCCACTGGGAGGAGACCTTGTGGGCAGCCCAGGACTAGGTGGAGGGGACAATATATCTCGTCTGGCCTGGGAGCGCCTGGGAATCCCCCCAGAGGAGGAGCTGGTGGAAGTGGCCGGGGTGAGGGCCGGACCGGGATGAAGCAGAAGAAAACGACGACGACGACGATACAACAAAGTTCATTTTATCAACTTATTTCATTTTTCATTATCTCAACGTAACAAAGTTAGTTCTCTAGACTTATTTTTTCGTTATCTCAATATAACAATGTTTGTATATGTATGACAATGGTGTTTTAGGTGACCTCAACGGTAACTTTTAAAAGATTAGGATATTTCTAAAACGCCATAGCCACCGTTGTCAACTGCGAGTCTGGGTTTTCAAAGAAAACGCTCCATTTTGTGCATCCCCCTTACACTTTCGATGATTTGTGCATGACAGTTAAATGCCTCCATATAATATATGGTAAAATATAAAATCCAAACCTGGAGGGCGTTTTTTAAAGTTACTGCTGAGGTTGGCTAAAACGCCATTTCCGTTATAATAAGACACCAAACTCCGTTATATCGAGAGAAGAAGATAATAGGTCGATATCACGAGATAACAGTGTATAAAAAAAGAAAAATCCATGTCTGTTCTCGACTTCTGTAATATTGCCAAATGTAAGAGTGCATATGAAATTAAAAGTCTCCTCTTGTTCATGTCGTTCAAAAATAAGTCAATAAAGAAGACCGTGTTCCTGCGCAGGACAGAAAGATTTACAGAGATTAGCAGAAAAATGTTCTCCTGACCTCTGGTGAAGCTCTCAGAGATCTGGTTTCTTTCTGGAGGAACAGTTCGAATAAATCATAATGAAAACTGAAATTATCTCCCTCTGTTTGTGCAATAAAAAAAAAAGAGCTTAGTCCTTCTTCGCTTTGCAGGAACATCAGGTGCAGAACACACTAGACTGATATTATTACTTCTCATGATGGAGCTTATTTTACTTCACAAACTGTGCAAGAGCGGCGGTACGACGGGAGAAATAGAAAAGACAGAATCATGCTGTCATTTCCAGTCGTGTAATTGTCACAGTTAAACGGCTCTGGCAGCTGTGACACGCTGAAATCTCAGGTCAGGACTTTAATACTCGGCAGCCAGAAGAAAGAGGTTGTACCGGCTCGAGGCCCCCGGCGCTCCCTCAGAGTTCACAGAGGGCGTAATAAAGGAAATTAGAGTAATAACTGGTGGGGGGATATGCATAGCGGGTTATGTAATTGTACTCTATATCAATCAATAAAGTCTTGACCTGGGAAATGAGCCTGGCATTAAGTCTGGGAGTCTGTTTCTTGGCACCTGCTGTGAGCGCTGAAATGAAAATCAGCATGCAGTGACGGGGGAGAGAGGAGCGAGAGCCGAGCCGAGCGACTGCTACGCTTAATGTGCTGACTGACAGGACTGCAGGGTGTGCAGTGCTTGATGGGGAGGCTGCCGACATATACTGTCATATTTACAATTGTAATTTTGAAATAAAGTTGTTTTTTCTTACCACAGCCTGTCAAAGCACACCTACAACAACAATTGGAGTTTTAAGAGGAAAAATAAGAGTCGCTGCTCCTTTAGTCACTCGTTGGATACGGTGAGTAAATCATGAATATTTGACTAAAAACATTTAAAAAACAAATGTTCTGTATTAAAAGCACATTTTTTGACGTTGAAAATCAAGTAATCCGCGTGAAAATCAGTTGAGACGTGAGCGAGATTTGATTTAATTTCTACGTACATCTAATGCCTTTAGTGGGAACGTTGCCCCCACCAAGATGGCCGCCACGTAGGCACATTGCTTATGCTGCGTTTCAATTACCTCAGGAATCGGATGTCAGAGCTGGGAATGACGTTACACACACATTGACAGCGTTCCAGTAAACAAGTCAGAAAATGAAGATGGACGCCTACTGTTAGCTGATGTAAGTTGTTGTTAGCTATCGTTAGCAGTTGTTAGCTGTTGTTAGTTGTTGTTAGCTATCGTTAGCAGTTGTCAGCTGTTGTAAGTTGTTGTTAGCTATCGTTAGCGGTTGTTAGCTGTTGTTAGTTGTTGTTAGCTATCGTTAGCGGTTGTTAGCTGTTGTTAGTTGTTGTTAGCTATCGTTAGCGGTTGTTAGCTGTTGTTAGTTGTTGTTAGCTATCGTTAGCGGTTGTTAGCTGTTGTAAGTTGTCGTTAGCTATCGTTAGCGGTTGTTAGCTGTTGTTAGCTATTGTTAGCGTTTGTCAGCTGTTATTGTTATTAGCTGTTGTCAGCTATCATTTGTGGTTGTCAGCTGTGGTTAGGTATCCTTAAAGGTAAAGTGCATATAAATATTAGTGTTTAGCAATAACTAATGATGTGTTTGATTTACCTCGGAAAAAGATGGCTACATCTACTTAAGTTATTTTGGCCCTTGCCTTATGTTCGGACAAAGCAAAAGCTAAAATAACTTTCATAGGTGTAGCCATTGTGTTTTCGCCTCTGATTTAGCTTTTTTCCAACTTGGTAACTGAAACGCTGGGAACTCGGGTGTGACGTCATTTTCAGCTCCGACATCTGACCTCCGAGGAAACTCAAATGTAGCAGAGTGATCGTACTCTAGTTTGAAAAGATGGTGGCCTTCGAGGACAAGAAGCTCATAATGCACTTCTAATATGATTCTCCATCCACCACCTTCTGCTTCCTCATCGTCCAATCAGTGAAGTTCACGCCGCCCCTCACTTAATGCGAGATTTCGTGTTACTAGTTCCTCTGTAACCAAAGTTTCATGGCGAGGAAGATGGCGAAATAATCATCTTTTATGTTTAACTCACTCGACACAAATCAAAACTCACTCCTTTAGTTTTTGTGTTTCTGCTAAAAGTTCCTTACTGTATCTTTAAAGCTCCACTCACAAACACTGTAAAAGCTCGAGCGTTAAATCAGAGACATGGTATCTCATATGTGCTCTAATTTCATTTAGCGGCCCCCGGTGACTCGGGGTTATTATAATACGTGTTAGCAGCTGGCTACTTCATTAACACGCTGAGCTGTAGTTTCCCCCTCAGGAGCGTAACTCACCAGAGGAAGCAGGAGCCGCTAAGTGGAAAGTCGTCACTTCAGAGGTGGAAAAGACTGAACTCCAACATGTCGGAGGGAAAAAAGAAACTCGTTTTTTTCTGCGTGGTGCTGCCTGTGAGGAGTCTTTTAATTCAGAGCGTTTTTATTGCCGCTATAATGTCTGCAAACACAGTAATATTACAGAAAAACAACACGCTGACATTTATGACGATGATAAAACTCGGGACTAAAAATGGAGGGAAAGCTGTGAAATCAGACGCAGCAGTAGTAAAATAAAGTCTCGTGAAGGTTTTTATCTTTGTTTTGTCTTTTTCTAAATGTTTTTATTTTCCTCCTTTTTTATTATCGACATATTTTCTCTGCTTCGGTGTTCATTAGCCTCCTGTAGTGTTACGGCGTTTATATGTACAGTCTTATTGTTATAGGTTGTGACTCACCCGTAAAGTACTTTAAAGTGAACTACCCTGAATAAAAGCGGCAATCAAAGTTATGTTTTACGAGTTTACTGATTTTTTCTGCAAGTTTTAACAGGAGGAGGTTATAACGTCCTCGTATCCTTCGTCTGGGACGCGGTTATAAGAGGCTCGTCCGTTTTCAGCTCCTCTGGTTAATATTATCAGGATCAATGCTGAGGGTTTTTGTGTGAGAGTCAAACACAATAAAAAATAGAAATGATGAAGGTCACGGTCAGCTGGCCTGCCTGTGGGCGAAACTGAAATAACATGAATGTGAGGAGGTGTCAATCAAGCGGCAGAGGTCTGAGATACGACCACAGGGTGGAGAGAGGACACCAGGGTCCTTAAATTAGAAAAAAGGGGGCACTTTTAAGACCTGGGTCCATTTGTTTTAACATTAATATGAGTATGAATAACAATAGTGACATGTAAGGCAGTTAAAGATTTAGAAATCTGTGTCGTGATGAAAATACGAGACCGAAGACACGACAAAAATACTGATTGATTCAACCGTTTTTTTTTTTGCTTTTGACTTTTTGAAACCGCCGCTATCAAGTGTCGCACATCATTAAAATCAGGACAACCTTATGTTTCATTAGCACCTTTTTTTTTCCTTTTCTTGGCCGAAAAAAGATGTTTTCATCAGATTTGTAAAAAAAAAAAAAAAGAACGCCAGAAAAATGTTTTTTCACTTTTATCTGAAATAAAACATCAAGAAGTTTGTTTCTTCTCATTTAGAAAGTTAGATTTGGATGTTTTACACTTTTACGTGAGTTTTTAGTCACATCTGATCTTTTCTCAGCGAGCTACAGCCTTTTTTTACAAACTTATTCCAGGCGATTTTGCACTGATAACTGGTGTGTACAAAAATTTAAGACCGTAAATAAAAAGCATATAAAATCGTAACGGGGGACATGAATGATGTTGATATCCTGCATCAATACAACCAAAACAGGAGACCCCACAGTGTTTCACTCACAAACAACCAGAGTTACAGCAATTTAAACTGAAATCGGCAAAATATCATGACAAACAAAACTGGTTTAATTTCATTGTTTAAAAAATGTTGTTTGGAAATTTGGTTTGGGAAAAAGGTGGAAGGATTTTAGAAATTTCAGTTCAATTACGTGTCGTTCAAAAACTCTATTCGTGCCTAAGATTAACTGAAAATACACTGATTTAAATTTCTTGTAGTCGAATTAGACGATGAGACTGAAGCTCGATTATCTCTCCAATCTTTACGCCTCAATCGGCCTCAAACTGGCCTCAGCGTTTTAAGCATGCTCCACAGGATTTGACCCACAAACTGATCTAGGTAACAGCGTTTTGACGTCGACTCAAAAGGTGTTGAAGAGACGATATTTGTATAATACCAAATAAACCCATTCACCCTTCATGAAAGCATTTGTTGATTATTTTAGTGCGTGACGGAATCAACCGGAAGGTGGACCAATAAAAACAAGCTGAAAGAGGCCGAAACCATCGACTGTAGATGCTTTTAATTCTTAAGGTAGTCCAGAAATCGACACATTGAAGCTCTGAGCATAGCTGAGGATAAATGTGCATGTAAACAAACCGAGTGTCTCTGGAGTTGAGGAAGAGAGTCAAATAGGATTTTTGAGCCTTTAATTTTGCTTAAAAAGTCGACTTTCCAAACGGCGAGCACCATAGACGCACCAAAGTCAGAGGAACGACTTTCTAAACTCGTGAACTTATTTTCCTTTAAACATGGACAAGCCAAGCTGCTCTTTTTCAGCTCCTTCCCAGCCACCTCGAGACTCCTTCAGACACCAAACTCCACGTTACGACGTCTCTCCCTGACACCCAAACTCCAGGCTTCAAACTGTCCCTTCTAAAACCCCGTCACTAAAGTCAAATCCAAGTTCCATATTCCTGTAAAACCTGCAGGATTCAGCTGGATCGGCTGTTCGCAGGGATTCAATCTGTCACCTCCGGGGTTCGGTTCAGTCTCTCCACATAACCGTGAGGCTAACGTCCGTCCTGCTAACATCGAAAAACTTCAGCGGGAAAGGTCAGAGCCGAAGGCGCGGTCAAAGTGATTGTCACGGGTTTGCAGGGGGAATATTTCCCTGCTGTATAGGTCAACGTAGTGTTTCTTTTAAAGGTCAGAAATGTAAATGTCCCTCCTCTCCTCCTCTTCTTCACTTTCATTTCAAAGTTTGAGGCGGAGGAACGAGCCACACTGCTGCCATTACACTCGCCGCGCTAATCTCTCCATCGATAAAAGAAAGAGGAAAAATCTAATAAGCTTATTAACAATGAGAGAATTTTAATCACAGATGAGGATTTTATCAGCGCTCTGCGGGCCGCTCTGGATCCATCCGGCCCGCCGAAAAACTGGATCCAGAGGAGGAGGGGGAGACGACGTCCGCTCATTATGAAAACATTAACTCCAAATCCATTTGTTTTCCACGCTAAAAAGAGTCTGCAGACGAATACTAATCCAATCTGCTCCAAGTAATGAAATCATTAATACAAATTTAATAAACGTCTGGGTTATCCTCGCCGTGTTTCGGGGTTTTTCTGCTTTTATCGGAGCGTTTCGGCCTCTTTGGCGCGCAGAGATGGCCCTGAGAGTCAATTCTATAATTAAGACACATTAACTTGTAACACCTAACAGACGGGCTCAATTACCACAGCGGCTATTAAATTATATTGGAGCGAGAGGCTGAGGGAACGGTGGCGTTCTCCACATATTACCGAGCACCTTTATGAAGTTATAAAAGAAAAAAAAAAGGACGTGTGTCTTTATCGTAAAGGTGTTCGGAGGACTTTATTGTGGCTCTGAGCGTCAAACTGATCAAATAAAGATGAACCTGGAGTACGGGGACTTCACATGTGTGTGTGTGTGTGTGTGTGGCAGCCGTCCCCCTAAACCATAAAGTTATAAAATCAGAGGGTTAGTACGTACTTAAAATCTGATGTATGTGGCGTGAAGTTTCCACACTCTTCTTATTTGAGGTTTGGATCCGAGTCCAGAACCTCAGACTCAGTTTCCACTCAGGATGTGTTAAAGTCATTACTGCACGTCCACAGAGAGGGGGGAGGTTAGCGTTTCCCTGTGCTGTGGCGCCCTCTGCTGGACTAACAGAGTAACACGAGCTCTAACCTGTTTGAGACCAGCTGCAGTGTTTCCAACAGGTTGATGTACAGAACTCGTACAGTGGTGGTTCTGACCTACATAAACATGTTGTGTCATTTTTAACCCTTTCACATCCTCGATAAAAAATGTTTCTGGATTTATTAAAAGTTTTTTTTTTTAGCAAACAAAACAAAAAATGACTTTATTTTTAGATTTGTTTAGATTTTAATTTTGGTTATTTGGGGGCGGAGTCAAATGTAACTGATGGAGCATTCCTGTAACCATGGTAACTCTCAGCACAGGCCCTCAACTGAAACGTCTTACTGATTATACTGTGAAATAAAAGAGAGATTCTGGAAAAAAATCAGCTGAAATCACAACCACAACAAATAAAGTCGCCAAATTGGCAAAACAGAAAGTTTCACTTGTTTAAGTGAGTCGTACGTTGGGAGGATTTGCACGTGCAAAGAAGAAGATCAACCAAGACAGGCTGCCAAGTATGAACATTTCGCACATCATCCAGGAATTTCACAATTAAAGCCCCATATGCAAAATTTCTCGGGTTGGTTATCTGACTTTATCTGCAGGTAACAGCACATTAACCCGAGAGCACTGTCGCTAAAATTAGTATTGGTAGTCCTTGTCATCAAAATATATCAATATAGGACAAAACCTGACAAATTAAAGTATTTTTCTTTTATTTCTAACTGTGTAATGTCCAAAGGGAGGGGAAAAAGTGCCATCAGGGGACCGAAAGAATGCAACAAAAGAACCGAAATTAGGCATTCATAAACAAAAAATACCTTACAAAAATCAAACATATAAACTGTAAACTTTTTTTTCCACCCATTCCTGTGTCATGTGCGTCTTCTCTGGTGAAGACTCGGGGTCTTTGGCACAATAACAGGAGAGAGAACCAAAATATGGCAGATTAGGAGTAAAAATGACCAGCTGACTCAAATATTTCTCATCACCATATGAATTCCTTTGAAAATCACGACTTTATGATAGTTATTTATAACCACAGTGCTAAATAAAGGTAACATGTAAATTCCAGGACCATTCTTACTGACCTTATTCCCTACATGCAGCTATCAAATCCACCCAAACCTACTTTACCCTCTATCTCTAAAATCACTCTGTGAACACGTATCTGTAGGAAAAAGCAGGTTTTGGAAAATCAGGGAAACAAAGATCTCTTCAAAGATGTCAAAGGAAATGCTGGAGATACCCAGAGACCCATGATACTCAGACAAACACGACATCATGAAATTCATGTGAACATGTTTGGTTGTGTGGAAATCACCCGACTATAGTGTTCCAGGGTTAAAGTAGATCTTCATTCTCTAAACCCTAACCATGATGGTCTGCCCCATAACAACGCCAAACGAGCAGGAAATCAACCAGAAGGCTGTGGCGCCATCTTCTGGTGACCTGAGGTGACTTCTACTTTAAATGTTCATGATTCGATCATTCATCACTCTGAGGTTTTCACACTTTCATGGGCCGGAGGTCAATCAGTCGTTGGACTTAGTTGGAGCTGCTGGGTCACAGGTCCAAGTCCTGCTGTGGACCAAAGTGTGAAGCTGGAGGGAGACCCCCGGAGCAAGGGACTGAACCTCCAGGTGCTCAAAATGCGTAAGGAGCACCACAGGCTTTTTGTCCCCTTTCACATTACCACATGAAGACCACTAGAGGGCAGCACTCAACTTCACTATGGGAAATTCATTCAGGAATAGACTGAGCTGCTTTTTATCCTGCAACTCATGAACAAATGGACCAAAGCAGCAACATGAACATACTTCAGATGATGCTTTTATTTTTGCTAAGTTTGAGTTTTTCCTCAAAAAAGCTGCATTAAAATAAAAAAATGTCTTTTTTTCTCTCAGATCTGTTTAAACTCGGGATACAGTGACGACCTTAAACCCAGAGGATCATGACTCCTGCAGAGCTGCTGGTACAGAGATATAACTCCTGTGTCCAGTCTGAGATGGACCCAGAACCACAATCTTAAAGGGATATTCCGGCATAAAATTAAACTTAGGAAATGAGTCAAAGTTAAAAAGATGTTTGGTGTCTAGTACTATGTCTGTGACCCTATATGTACTGTTGATGAAGTTAGGTGCTGTTCTGAGCATTATTTGTGGCTATAGAGTGGCGTTTTGGTTGAGCGCGTGGCTCTCTGTACTGCTATCCTGCGGTCGTTATTAAAGTTGGTATAACTAGAGAAGCAAGCAGTCGGCAACATTCATCTCTGGAGGGGGGGTCTGACTCTGTGTTACGGTGTGTTTGACCCTTCATTAATTTTACAGCGGAATATCCCTTTAACCCTGAACCACATCAGTTATCGCGTCCTGTCTTCACCACAATCTTTATCATAAACTCCTGACTGAGTTCAGACGAGGAGATGACCGTCTTTTCCTGGACCCGATCCTCCTCAGGACAAGGTCACTCACGGGGTTTTAAAAAAGCTTTTTAAAACCGTTTTTCTTTAATACTTAAAAAGTTAATCCTCCCTCAGAGGAAAACTGTTCGGTCCATGCCGCGAAGGCAAACGAGCCCCACATGGGAGCCATTTCAGGGGCACTCGCGGACTAAATGAGTCTTTAATAACACTCTGCAGAGGGCCTTGTAATTGCGAGCGAGGGGAACTTTTTCTAATTATAAGCACTCGCAGGCACACACTCACTTCTTGCGCCTTCTGTAGCCTAGCATGCCCCGTTAGCCGCGGTTCGCTAACCGTGCGGCTGAAACCACATGAGATACTGGAGATTGCAGGCTGGCAGGAGTTTGTTCGGTTCGGGGTTTTCAGTCAGGGTTGGTTAGTAAAGTAAACACCATGTGAAGTGGGCTGGGCGTTTGTGCAGAGAGACTCTAAACAAAATCAAGGAAAGTACAAATTTTCCGTATGTTTGGCACCAGACTGAAACCGTGTTGTTTCTGCTCGGCAATTAGAGGACGTGACTGTCAGCGTAATTATAACTTCCTAATTGTGGCTGCTCTCTCTGCAAACTTGGATCCCAGTTTGGAAAACAACATTTTTCTCTCTTATTGTTGGCTCCTTTCTGCCAGAAATTCCACTTTGAGTTTGTGGCTGGATGGTATTTAAATGAAAAATCTGAGTTTAGTGAAATCTGGTGAGTTAGAGAGCCTGGAAGAGTCATGGAAAAGTTTGAAGGTACGTCTGATGATGTTTGGTTTTAGAAACCCTGTTAACTTCGTTTTAATAAAGAGGATTTGTTCAGAGGTTAGCTTTTTCATTTCCACATTTAATAATTCTTGGATTAGGGTGACCACACATCCTCTTCAGCCAGGACATGTCCTCTTTTTGGGGGGCTGTCCGGCCTGTCCTGACCCTTCATCTGTCCGGGGTTTGCTTATATGGTTTGCCTCTGAATCTGTGGGTTCTCGTGAGTTCTCGCGATCGTCGCTGTCGATAATCCACCACGAAACTCGCCTCACCAATGGATCCGGTAGGAATTGGCGGACGTCAAAAATCGGCACCGTTCGAAATAGGAGCCATTCCAGATCTCCAATGAAAAGTCCAAAGATGGGTCGTGAACCCAGAACCACTTCCTCCAAAGGTGACAGCCCTACGACACCTGGTGTTTCTATCTAAAAGGATTTTTCACATTTTTAACATTGTTCATTTCACTAGTAACTCTGCTGTTGTCTTTAGTCTAGCATGAGTTCACTCTACTTCCATATTTCAGAGCCCTGAAACAGAATCTCTGAAATGTAATTCAAAACAAACTTCAGATTAGATTTAAACTCTGAGTTAACTGAGATTAAGTCCCACAATCCCGTCTGCTGATCACCGACACAGCTTCCATCATGGAAACCTGATAATCGCCGCACGCTGAGCTTTTGGGTCTCTCTCTCTCTCTCTCTCTCTCTCTCTCTCTCTCTCTCTCTCTCTCTCTCTCTCTCTCTCTCTCTCTCTCTCTCTCTCTCTCTCTCTCTCTCTCTCTCTCTCTCTCTCTCTCTCTCTCTCTCTCTCTCTCTCTCTCTCTCTCTCTCTCTCTCTCTCTCTCTCTCTCTCTCTCTCTCTCTCTCTCTCTCTCTCTCTCTCTCGTAAATCCGTCACTTTTTTACACCTGAAAACTTTATAAAGTCTCGATCTGACCCCTAGAGCAGCCGGTCGCTCTGACTTTTACGCCCCCCGTGTGCCTGTCAGCAGTCACAGCTTAATCCAGCAGGTGATAATGGAGCCTCCAGCTCTCGGTCTGTGAAAGGAATCACCATAAAGCGCCTCCCTCTGAGGCCCACAAAATTCATGGGTACGGATACTATCAATTCCCCCAACTGTTTAATGTCTTCAGCAGAGCGATCTGTCTCTCATTAGCTCACGCACAAGTGTTTATTTTGGTGTAAATCTGGAGCGAGACGGCAGGAGCTCCTCCAGCAGAGAGCTGACGCTGGAAAACAGATTTCACCGTGCTGGAAATGTTCATTTTGTAGGAATTATAATCATTTTAGATGTGATTTTAATTTCCTTATTTCACTTATACGGAGCTCAAACTGTGTGGACTCCTTCTACAGAACAGATTATTCAGAAGTCACCACTAGAGGGAGCTGTACGCCTAAAAAGAAGACACAGTTCACTGTTTCGACTCCTGTTGTTGCATCTCTGTCCATGTTTTCTGTTTTCAGATTCTATCTGATGCAAACGTCCCTCTCACTGTCGACCTCTGACCTCTCTAATTGCAGCAGATAATAGACGTCTACCAGCCCGTCCTCAGCGCTGACAGGTCTCCGTCCTGCAGCAGCAGCAGCATCTGTTTTCTCTCTGCTCACCGGCCTGTCGGGGGTCACAGGCTGCACAGCGACGGGTTGTTTTGTCTGACTGTGGATCCTCACAGGACGGTGGGAAAGAGTGAGTCAGAGCCGTGGAAGCTACAAGCTCCTCTTCTGCAAATCACGTTTTAAACTTTTATTTATCGTCGGGTTGAGTCGCAGAAAAGTTCTGCAGACACTCGGGCCAGAGTTTAGAGTCAGGGGTCTTCATCTGGTGCTGCTACAGATCTGGATCTACAGTAATACGTCAGAAACAAGAATCAGACACAGATAAGACGGACCGCTCCACCACTGAGACACAAAAACACAAATGAGGGTTCTACACTTTCAGGAGTTTGTGGCTGATCTGGATATCAGGCTGACAGACGCTTTGCAGAAGCTGCTGCTGCTCAGGTGCAATGCATTCTGGTACATGTAGGCGCTGCAGGGTTGGAGGACTCATTTCTTTTTACATGAACTGAGTAATGCATGCTTTTATTTACAAATGCACCAAAAAAAATAATAATAATAACTGAAGGAAGCTCGTCTCCTAAGTCCAAAATTAAGTTTTTCTTTGGCTGTTTGAAAAACACCGTGGACCACCTGAAGTTTTAGATTCAGCAGAATTGTTTTAGAGTGAAGTGTGAGCAGACCTGACTGCAGAACAGCATGGACTAAACTCTCCATAACTGAACTTTTCTGGGTGTTTTTGAGGGTTTCTAATCTGACAGAACTGGAGCATAAGAACACTGCATGATGAGGCTGTTCAGACAGTCGTGTATTTTGGTGTACTTTGCCTTTAAATGGTCAGTTTTGTAAGTATTTTAATGATCTTTTCCACCTCCAGCGTTTACTAAATTGTCTTTGTGCATTCATAAAAAACCCGTAGAGTAAAAAAAACGTTTGTTTCACAGGTAAAGACCAAAATCACAGTATAATTCATCAGATCTGATTTGGCTCACTTTTCTAACATGTTATACATCATAATAATCTGTGATACACTCAGTCTCTGCGGTACCAGGATGTACAGAGACGCTAACGCAGCGTTGATCCGATGATGGGAAATCCCTTAATCAGGAAAACACCACCAGGGACCCCGAATGTGAAAGGCAGAGGGTATTAGCATGGAAATAGATAATATCCCCTCCCTCTGAGCTCTGCTGCAGCTCCTGCAAACACACACACACACAAACACACACACACACACACACCACCGTGATCTCTACCTCCACACCTCCTCTCTTGTTATCAGCGCGGCTCCCTACCAGGGGCTTATGTTTGTGCCAGGCACAGCCAGCAGCCTGGGCTTCCATTAACCAGAGCCGCTCTGTGTGAGGGAGTGTAATACTGCCGCTGAATCTGACATACATGATATAAGGTGGAAGGAGAAGCAGACTTTAATTATTTTATACTTGAATTTGTTGAATAAAATGTGGATTTAATGTTTTTAACCTTTTTAAACCTACAGAAATGAAACAAGAACCGAAATGAGCAACAAAAAACTTTGCAAATCATGTTTTTTTATATCCAGCGTTCAGGTTGTAGATGCACAATCCTTAATAATCTGTATATAACCCACCAAACCTTCAGCTGTGACTGTTTCCCTGAGGCAGAGGTGGGTATATGCTGTTTTTTTTTTCTTCTGCAGGGTTCTGCCCAGACAAGAGCTGAAGCTGTCGAACATGGAGGAAGTCAGGTGAAGTTACAGGCTGTTTAAGAAAGGGTAAGGAGAAGTGGAGAGTAGAAGAAGGCGTGCAGCAGATGGTCAAACCCCTAGACCTGTGGCATTTACAGGTACGAGAGGTAGAAGCTAATTGGAGCGTATTTCAACCAAAATGCATTTCATACCACCAGCCAGCAGGTGGCATTCATCGTCAGGCCCCGTTTATACGTACCCGGTTATTTTTAAAAACGGAGACATTAACCATCGTTTGCACCTTTCACCTCACACCTGAGAACGATGCTTTTATAAAACTGCAGCCAGAGTGGAGATCTTGAAAACTCTGTTTACATGTTTTCATGCAAACTGAGAAAAACAGAGGTAAACAGAGATTTGGGTAGCCGACGGCAGGTTGTGCGCCAGAAAGAAGGAAGTTACGTGGTTGTTGCTGCTTTTCGGAATTCTGATTGGCTAACATGGGCTTGAGTAAACAAAACTTTCCTGAAAACTTTTCTAGTGGTGTGCACAGTTTTTTTTTTTTTTTGTAAACAGCGAGGGTAAATTGTCCGTTTATGAAAGCTATTAAAGTTTGGGGCTGGAGTGACAGCTGAGGCAGTTTAGAGGAGATCTTTGCAGGAGAAGCCGAGAGCTAAAGAGCTTGGATCCAATCAGCCTCAAGTTCAAAATTAAACACCGCTTCTTCAATAGAGGGAGACATTACACTTATGTTTCTGTTTGTTTTATCCTAAAAGATAATTGATATGAAATATGAAAGATGTTGTGAATCTTCTACCCGACTGTCTTCTTCATACCTGCCATCCGAGTCCCTTGACTTTCCCCGTATGTTTCCTTCTCAATCTCTCTGCCAGGGAGCTAAATTAGTTCATAAATCCAACCTACTGTTCAGAAAATAAATCCCTCTCTTCTCTGCTCCAGTATGAGAGCCACGCTAGGATCCACACAGTCACCTTCGTCCAGAACCGGCCAGGCGAGACAAACCAATCAGCCCAGAGCTGCAGGACTTGGTATGAGACCCTCCAGATCAATAAGGATCTCTGGGCTTTACTTACTGGAGCACAGCTGGTGCTGGACGTACAGGGAGTGTTTCAAATGGGATGGAGGCCGGCTTGTGTTCTTGCTGGGCCCCTCATGTTTGGCCTTTTGTTGGGTCTATGTCAGGAGGAAGTTGGTCGGTGTGTAACGCCAGACCACGATGGAAAAACAAAACATGGTTCTGACAGACAAACACTGAGATACACCTCTTATCTTTCTGACATAGATGTGATACAAGATAGATCCAAAATGAGACAGAAATGACTATGTGAGAATATCAGAACAATGTCATGAATCAAAGCACAGGCTGGAAGACACGACACCGATTTAGCTTGTCGAACAGACAGGGTTTCATGAAGCCCAGGCAGAGGTCGGAATACAAAAAGGCAGTCAGGTCAGACAGAGGTATCAAAAACGTGAGGCGAAAAGGCAAGGTCAGAAAAGGCAGGCAAAGTAATACACTGGTTATCAATAACTATGAACAAATGCAGGAACGAGACAAGAAGTGCAATGAACTGGTGACGAGACGGTGAGATCCACAAGGTTAAATACAAGCGGTAATGAGGGTGATGGGAAACAGGTGTGAGAAGACAGGAAATACATGAAACAAAACATGAATGTGAAGAAATAAAAGGAAACTTAACCAACATGAAAGTACTGGAAAATAAAGAGAAACTTGACTGACACGATTCAAACAAAGAGCAGGAATGAGGTCAAAGAAACAAAAAACTAAAATGGTCTAAAATGAGGAATAAATATTTAAAGTTATCCTTTTTAAAATGTCAGCTGCTCAGCAATTTTACAGTTTACATGACTTTTCTTTTTTACAAAGGAATGAAGTTTATCATTATAGTCCCTGTAATTTCATGCATAACTCCTTTTATTTATTTATTTATTTATTTATTTATTTATTTATTTTTGTAATTGCCAAAAAAATACCTGTTCTTTTCTGTTCAACTCCATTGTATTTGACCCAGTTCCAATTATTTTGACTCTATTCTCATCGATGTAAATTTTTATATTCTACTCTGTTCTGTTAACAATTTTATTCTATTTTGGTTGAATTTATTCCAACCAATTTCAACCCTTTAGGATATATTCTAACCCATTATTCTAATCTCTGTGACTGCTTTATTTGTTGCCATTTTACTTGAGTTAATGGAATTCTATTTGACCCTTTTTTCAAAGCACTTTCACCCATTCCATTCTGTTCTATTCCCTTGAACTGAAATCATTGATGTTGCAACAATGTATTGTTACTTTTTTGCTCTTTTCTAGTGCATTCTAAACTATTTGGTTCTTTTCTAGTCTCTCTATTCAAACCTGTTCTATTTGATTTGATTCTGTTCTATATGACTCATTTTGTTGAGTCAAAAGCAAAAGAGAAAAGGCCAACTAAAACTTTTGGAAAATGTCCAAACAAATCTAAAAGTCCGAAACACACACGGAGACATTTGGGGACACAAGCGTACACTGACATCGACGTACAAATAATGAACCAACAAGAACAGAGGAGAAGACAGAGACTATATACACAGTGAAAAACGAGCAACAGGTGAGGCAGACGAGACACAGGTGAGACTCATGAGTGATTAACAAAGGAGAGAAAACTAGGGAAGTAAAACCAGACTAGAAACACAAGGAATCAACTCCTACAAAATAAAACAGGAAATAAACCCTGAAACTGATCTAAAGAGTAAAACACAGAGACCAGGAGGGAAACAGGGTCAAAGACAAACTGAAAACTCACAAGACTGGACGACAGGGGAACAGGAACACTAGGGAAAACACACAAAAAACACTTAAATGGCAACATTCATCTCTGGAGGGTGTCTAACTCGGTGTTACGGTGGGTTTGACCCTAAATTAATTTTACGCCGGAATATCCCTTTAAAATCACAGACCTTGAGCTCGGTCCACAGTATCACTGCTGCTTTTATCTGTTGGTATTATGTCAGTATGACTATCATATATCAGAGATCACACACACACACACACTAGTTGAAATGCTTTCATACCACAGAGTAAAAAATAAGGCAGCAGTCCTCTAACGCGCTGCGTGTTCAGAGTCCAGCTGACGGTCTAGTATGAGCCATAAACACTGAGCGGGGACACAGACAGACCCGGTTTGATGGAGTCAAGGCGCCACCACGCTCACAGAGATGGATACCCATGTCACGCTACATTTGTCGAAGGAGGGTTATGATTTGGCAGCTTCTCAGGACGGCGAGAGGACCGCTGGCACCAGACGCAGAGCTCTGTGACCACAGCCGGGCCCGAGCCTTCATTTAGTCAGTTATTACTCCGACACCGCTGTCACCATGCCAACGGGCCAGGAGACATATTAGGTCTCCTGACTTGCTCCAGTGTTTATGTGGTACGAAGTACGACAATCAAAGCTGCGTAATGATATACAATCATAAACACATATCGAGTTTGAGATTCACCTTACATGCTCTCTCTGGTGCTCAGTGCGGCTGAGAGCTTTAAATAAAACTTTATTTACGAGAATCAAAGAAAGATGGATGTGATCGGACTTTTAAAACAACCAAACCGACTCTGCTGGATGAGAAAAGTCTCATCAAACTCTCGTTTGCAGCAGCAGAAACTTTCTCTCCAGGACTCTTGATGGTTCGCTGCTTTAACAGATTTGTCTCTGGATGGTAAGAGACACTTCAGATAAACCTGGACCTGGTGTCGCTCCTGGACTATCACAGGTGGGTTGAGGTACACAGGACGTAGTCTGGTTTATGTCTCTAATGAGTACCCTGTTCAGGAATGGCAACACAGAGGAAGTACTCAGTCGTGTTTATACTTTTGAGTGATAAATGGAGGCGAGGAGATAAATACGAGCGTTAGAGAGTCGAGGAGGGTTTAAAAAGTGGTGCTTTGCCACAAACTGTGTGCCAGTGTTAACTCTGGGAAGCAAGAGTACGGTAGGTAAGAGTTTAACACATGTATTACCAAAGGTACGAGTCAAATCTGATTGGTTTGGAGTCAAAGTAAGACCAGTGAAGTTCCAGACCTGTTTTTTTATTTATCGTTATCCAGTTTTACAGCAGTTTAAAACATGTCCTTTAAATCTGAGTTGGAATATGAACGGTTAAAGACAGAAACCAGTTTGTCAGCCAATAAGAATTTTCCATCTCTGCTGTTGCTAGGAAGAAAATGCTAAGAGATCATTTTTAAATCCGTGCCTGATGATTGGACCGTCGGACCTTTGTGCATGTCAGGGTTTGGCCAATACTTAGTGGACTGCAGTACTGCGTTTAACCAGCAGGTGGAGCAGTGGCTTGACAATAACAGTTCTCTAAAGATATCGGTTTGATTGCAAGCGCGGTGTGTTACACTACGACTATGACACAAACATTTATGTCGATAATTTGAAACCCGTGACATTGGGTATTGTATTGTGATGTCAGTACCATGCGTTTCCACAGGGTGGTGCTAGAACTGCGGTTGAGAAATGGGCATATAGACATGCTCAGGGGTTGACCTCGGGGTCGGGGTAAGCATGTAGCTGGTGATAAACCGAAGCATCCATTCTGACTGTGGCGAGTTCGCTGATGAACAAATGTCAAACCTATCGCAAACCATGAGGGGCAAAGAATTACTGAGCGGTCGCAAAAATGGCTAGTAGAGGAAGTGACGTTCATTTCGCACATGTGCGGTACAAATCAGGTTTCTAGGATGGATCGGGTAGCGACAAGGCGTCCTGTAAAGGGATGATTTATGTTTGGAAGCCCCTTATGCTAACTCCTGCGTATTCACATTGACATGTACAGTTGACGCGATGAATGTGCGTTTCCTTAATTCAGTCGATTCAGTTTGTGAAGTTAAATTATTGAACAGATTCATCTGAAGCCGATTGTTCGGCGATGACAGTCACACACTTCCTGGTAATCAAATCAGTCGGCCTGAGGTCAGAGGGGAGAGAAAGCCCACACAGGCAGCCCTGCTCTCACACACACACACACACACACACAAACCCTCATGGATAAAGGACCGTCATGTGTCTGTGCACACACATGTACATGCACCCTCATAGAAATACACAAACAGAGCGGACATACATGGAGCGTAAATATCTACACATTTCTTGAGCAGCAGCAGCAGCTGTTTGTGAGTGTGTGTGTGTGTCTATATGTGTGTGTGTGTGTGTGTGTGTGTGTG